AGCACACATGTATACTTCGCGTTCCTATATGTGTCGCGATTTTATCCGCTCGAGTTTCATCGAAATGTCGCTTTTTATGACTGAGTAACGAGATCCGCAGTCGGTGATTAGACATCGCAATCGCCGTAATACGACGTGTCGTATTGTACACCTATACACGTGCAAAAATGCGTACGTACATAGGTGTGGGTGTCGATATCAAGCGGGAGACGTGCGAGATGGCACGCACACGCCCGGATCGGACGCAAAATTTTACGGATAACCGAGCGACGAATATATCATCTCGCCGCTGTCAAACGATGTCCTAGTTATATCGTCTAAGGAGTACTTTATAACTGTTTTACATAGAAATTCTTTTCAATTTTACCGCGTTTTCGAATGATCTTAGAAAGAGACTGTCAGAAAAGTTCATCTTGCTAAGGAACTTGATGAATTTGATTAAGGAATCAATTTTTTATCAAACAATATGAAAGAAAGGACGGTAAAAGCTATTCTTTCACAATTATATTATTAATATAATTCTTTTTCATAATTATATTCACAATTATAAATACAAAAATTTCCTCTTCAATATAAGTGTTAATACTATAATAATTCTCTTCGGGTATGTGTAGTTTCCGTGTGTTTTCTCGCCAGAATTATTGTAATTATTTTAACGTGGAATCAATCGTTTGGTCGTTACGGATTTTTTGAAGAATGTAAAATACTTTTGATGGCGGGCTGCCAACATGAACATCCGACGTGGCAGGACATCTGTTCGGCAGATGCTTACCGCTGGCATAATTCCTGCCGCGTGAACTCGTTAATTTCCATAATTCAATATAAAGTCTATAAAAAGGGATCCTTGAGTTCCTCGTGAAAATCTCTCAAACGACCGCAATTATTATTGTTGTTGATGTATCGATAAGTGACACACATGAGGAGAAAGAAATAGAAATCTGAAAACTTTAGATGAATCGTTGAAAAAAATAACGACCGAATGTAAATCGCGGTTTCATCATTCAGGAAATGCACAAAAAAAGGAAAAGAAAAACAAGAAATCTGACCGCTTTACATGAGTTGTTAAAAAAAATAATGATGTAAGCGCGAACCGTCGCGATATCGTTGAAAATAAAAGGAAAAAAAATGGAAATCGCCGGAAATCTAAAAGCCTTGGATCAATCGTTGAAAAAATAACGATCAAATGCAAGTACGAGAAGTCGTGATAAAAGTTTTGGATTATCATTGAAAAAAAAAAGAACCAGATCGCGCTTCCGTGAGGTCGAAGGTGCATGTCTCGCGTGCGTCCTTTGGAGGAATGCGCGCAATCTCCTTTTCCAAGAACTTGTGATTACCAACCAGTTGAACGTATGCAGTCATCGGCCTGAGCAGACACGAAACACGTCATAGACGCGTAATCGTTACCCAATATGATTGCTTGGCTAAGAGACGCGTGTTAACATTACACTTGAGTGCATCACACTGAAATGTCCGCCAGTTTCTATATAGTAAAAGGTAGGGGATCAGAAATATTTTTGTTTTGCTATAGATATTAATATGAACAGATGGAGCATACCGTCGCTTAGTGGCTGACGAATAATGAGAGTGAGAAAGTGCATCCTATCTCTGTCTTTTTGCGCATTTCTATACTTGCCTTTTATTTCTCATTTCTTGTAGATCAGGCAACTACGTTCTTACCAACATTGTATAATAGCTTTTACGCGAGGATAGCGTCGACACGATGAAAGATCCTCTAAAAAAGAAAGGACATTTTCGGGGGTTGTTTAACGAAGAAGGAAAGAACGCATCACATATAAAGAAAAGAAACTTCCCTCTAAACCGGTAATATAGTATAATTTATAAAGTAAATATTACAATTTGTATAATCGTATGAAGCATAAAATTTTAATTTATTGGGAATTTTTCTCTCCCATCTCTTTCTAAACCGGTAATATTGTAGAATGTAGGTAGAATGTAGGTAATACGGTAATTTGTAGAAACGCTTCGCGCATATGTACGAATAAAAGTGTCAAGATTATTCACGTGTTGATAATGTTCTGCAAAAAATAAAAATACAAATAGCCTATTTTTTTACATAGCATATCGGATATGTTCCAGCGACTCGACCTTCCATAGGTTACCCGTCTCATTCCATTAAATATAAAGGACGTACCGTTTGTCGAAACAACTTTTAACTATTTGATCGTGGATGAGATCAATGTTTCTCAATCGCTAATCGTCGTTTCGATTCGGAAGTAGATTAAAAGTGGCCTCCCTGCGTTGCGAGATAAGTCACGAGTTAGAAAAGAACACGTGTGTGTGTGTGTGTGTGTGTGTCAGCTGTTGAATGCGTCAGTCTGCGCACGCGGGGGGTGTTTTGTCACGCGCGAGATTTTCCGACGCGTGAGAAGTCACACGTTCGCTCCTCGATCACGATCTGGGATGAATTGAATTTTATATGATGAAAACACAAATTTTGAGACATGCGCGCGACACCTCATGAATGACTTCTCGATACGAAATTAAAAAAAGAAAAACACATTCGCGCAATTTCTGCTTGTTATCTGTGATTCAGCCTGAGGGAGATTATCGTTTATCGCGCTTTCCGCTGTCAATTCCGATACTAAAATTCAATTAGCTTTTTCTTATCGCACCTAACATTAGGATACGTCTGTTGTTGGAGTCGATAGTAAAAATAATGAAAGACGGAATTATTGTCGTAATATGTATATAAGATTACGTTCGGAAGGTATGTAAACTTCTTGAATTAGTAAACTGGACGAGCGACGAAGATGTAATTTGAGCTTCAAAATTAAATGCAAAATACGCAGTTACTCGTGAGCATTCTCGTGACACGTTTCGTGGCAGAAAAAATATTTTTTTGTGAAAATTCACGCCTTCATAAGAAACGGAGGAAAATTCGTTTGATATTTGAGGCTTTCATGGAGTAGACAAATGCTGCCGGAGTCACGTTTTTACGGTCTTCAATGTTGTGTGAACATTTCGGTATGGTTTCATCATTAGTAGGGTTGTAAAGCAACGTTTTTACCGTTACAAAAAGTTACTGTTTCCAACAACGACGTTATCTTTTTCTTATTAGTAACTTTTCTTATTAATAATTATATTTTTTGGACAACAGTAACAAATACGATTATTTTTATCGTTATTTCGCACGTGTAGAGATTACATGCACACCGGATGAGCGATTCGTAAAAACGATCTTCACGGTATAAAAAATAACGGAAATTGTAATGATTAGTTATTTTTTGAGTAACGATAACGATAACAGAATTATTTCTTAAATAAGTAACGAGTTCCTTTTCAAAGAACAAGCGTCTGGACCATTTGTTCCTACTAACCACATGGCTGCTTATTAATTTTGCGCACTTATTAACCAGCGCTTGCTCTTATAGGTCTTCCATTACTGGTTAATTGATTTTTAATTTAATTTAAGTGCGTTTATATTACTTTTCAAAGGCAACTATCCTAATTATTAGTATCATAAATAGTATCGTCGCGATATTCGTGCGAGTGCTTCAATTTGTTGTCTTCGCGTCACGGTTACTGCGAACCTTTGCTCTTATCGAGATATACACGCGCGGTCGATCCTTTATCATACACAGAAAATTTTATGCGGAGCGTTGGCGATATTCCGCTTCTCTTTGTGGCGAGGTGAGGCGAAAAGACGTGCAACAGAAGAGTGCGAGAAAAAAGTAATCACCCATAGCAAAAAAGTCAGTCACAAGGCAACAGTTTCTTTCTTACATTCTTTAGAACATACAAAAAATACGACGAAGCGAACCTTCGGTTCACGGACGTGCGCAATAGATGGTCAGACAGCTGTCAAATTACATATGTCAAAATTATATTTTGATAGCTGTCTGACCATCTACTTGTTCGTAAATCTTTTTGGTATGCTCCGAAACATGTAAAAAGAAACTGTTGCACCCGCCCGACTATACCAGTAGTAGACTTGGTATTACATTGGCTCAACATTAGCCAATGTTGGTCAATGTTGAGCCAATATGTCGCCAATAAAGTGTACTACTAAGGTATATATAATTATATATATGACTTACATACAAGATATCCCAAACATTTCTCAGTTTCCGTGGTGTATATATAGAACGGGTGAGTAGAAAAGTTACTTACCATTTTTGCAAAATTCGCAATAGTTAATGAAGAATTAATTATTTTATCTGAACTAATGAACGCACGGGAAGGTCAGACTCTGTATAAAGAAAAATGGCTTACTTGTGAAAATCTTCTAACAATCTAACGATGAGCATCTTAATTCTTCTAACGATGAGCATTAACTGATTTCGAAAAGCGGAATAACGCAGCGAGGGCTGTGTGCCGAAAAGAAACGCACTATTAGTTGATACCTATCGTTATTAGGAGAACGTTATAAAAATAAGCGTTCATTAGCTTATACAGATTAATCAATTCCTCATTTCAACTATTGCGAATTTTGCAAAATGGTATGTGACCTTTCCTGTTCACCCTTCATTCTATACACTTCAGGAAAGGTTTAGGACACCCCGTGTATGAATTTTCCCTCTATGTGGTCACATATATAAATAATCATATATAATTATATGAGTCTATACGAAACTGCTATTAAATGGAAAAAAGAGAAAAAATATTTTCATTCAATTGAACATCCAGGTTGCAGAGCACCACGAGCAATTATTTTAACTGTGTTTATATAATATTCTTTCGAATATGTATAATTACATATCAAGATAAAATTCATGCATAATTATATACAGGGCGGTCCAAAAAATGTATACACACTTTAAGAGCTTCACGTTATTTGCCTGAATGGTCATCAGTTTGAAAACAGGCGTTGACAAAAAAAAAACTTATTCATATTTCTGTACATTTTTTCTAAAATTTTGAAAATGGACTGTATGAACTTTATAGCCGTTCAAAGTGTGTATAGATTTTTTCGGGACACCCTGTATATCACTCGTAAACAAAGTTAGTTACGAATTTGTCAAGTCGACTTTTTTACTCACTTGAAGGCCTTGGTGCGACGCGCGATTTCATAATACTCCGCCAACTTGTGCAGCAACAGGCTGTAGTGGATTGTGCTGATGGGCGAGACATGGTCGGCCGACACGTGGAAAGTCGCCTGTTCCTGCTGCTGTTGGCGCAGCAGCTCCTGTTTCTCGCGTTCGAGCATTTCATCGTGCAGCCTGACGTATTTTTCTTTGACGCGGATCAACCGGTCATTCTGCTTCGCGGAAGGCGCGACGGTCTCGATATCCACCAGTGAACGGACACACATGACGCTCCGCTGCCGATGTGTGCCACAAATGCTGTGAGATCCTTTCTCGATCCGACTCTCCGGAATTTCCGGGAAATCACGCTTCCTTCCGTGCAGAGTCGTTGATATTCACCTGTCTCTTCGAGTTGCCCGTTCGCGAGGTGTTCGCTTTGTGAAAGCCGACGTGGGTTTGACGAACTGCTCGAGCGATAACGCGATAACTGAGCCGGCTGTCCTCGAGGGACAAACTCGACCGATCGTCGCGTGGGAGGGAGGAGTGAGTGTGTGCGAGTGCGAAGAGGAGAAATTCAACACTCGCTTTTCCGTTCGAGCCGTAGAATACGCCGCGTCTCGACGCCGCTCTACTTTTATGCAGCTACTCCTGGCGCCCTCCTTCCCCTTCCGTTCCTCGCCATGGTGGGCGTGCGAAAGGGTTGTGGCATCAAAAACGCCTTTTCTGCGATCACGCGAGTCTCGATCCTGGCTTCCTTCGGATGACATCTCGCTTCTCGGGATCGAGGATTCTCGATATGGCCATAAACCTGGTTACAAAGAGCGCGTAACTTTCCGCAATTTGCGTCATTCCATGTACTCGCGCAGCGATTTTTTTCGTTCCTGGATTTTCCGCGCGTGTGGTCTTAATTTTTTAAAGTATTATTATTATCCCAGGAGAAAATGATTCCAAATGAATTTTCTCTATATATAATCCAGGTAGTGGAAGCTCCGAAAAGATGTCTGAGAAATGCTTAAAAGACATCTTGAAAAGTAGAACGTCTTTTAAACGTCCTCCTCTGTAAAACGTTTTGTGGGAATTATTGTGTATAATCACACGTATTTATATACATCAAAAGAAATACCGTCGCACAAATATAATTGAAGTAAATACTTGTGTGGCAATCCGTGATACCGACATTTGATCAAATGAAATTATTTTTTCTTCTTCCGCATCATTTTTCATTTCTTTATATATTTTGAAGTGCTGGTCAGCAAGGCTACTACCGAGTACTTTTGGAGAAGTTAAAGGCAGCGGAAAAACGTCTCGACCAAGAAAAAAATGTTGTTTCACTATGCACCGACGCATTCAAGCGTTGCCGCTCAGCAAGAATTGGCCGAATTGAAGTTTGATCTTGAATTGAATTCTTCCGCATCCACCGTATTCACCTACTTTAGTCCCTTCGGATTTCCATCTATTTATGAAACTCACAATTTACCTGGTTGAAAAGAGATTTGGGTCGAATGAGGAGGCGACAGAGGCCGTAAACGACTGATATTTTGGGGATCTCGAAGAAACCCACTTCCGCGAAGGAATCGGAGAAGGATCGTTAAGGGAAGTGCATTTCGAGAGGATTACGTATAAAGTACTCTATGAAACTAAAATTGTTGTTCTTAATATCAGACTAAGTTACTCTTTAAATCACTCTCATATATTGAAAGTTTAGACACACATTTACTTTAAATGTGTACCAAAGAACAATTGAATCGGCGTAATAGTTTCCGAGAAAAATATATGCCCGATTTGGAAAATATCAACATTAAACTTTGTAACTTAATTTGTAATTATATATATTTTATATGCAGAGTGTTCAAAAGAAAAAAACTATTCAATATTTGCACGGTAGATAGTATACACTATACTGAATAAAAAAAACCTTGGTAAACTTATAGATCAAAAGGTCCCCTCACGAAAAAAAAAAAAAAAGAAAATTGAAAAACTTACTGAAAATAACTCTCAACAGAACACTCAATTTGAAGGTTATTTCGAATACTCAACTTGAGAGTGATACTCAGCTTGAGTATAACCCTAAACTTGAATGTTAATTTTAATGTTAACTGTAACTTGAGAATTACTTGCAGTGTTATTTTCAACTTTAGAGTTAATTTACAGCGTCACGCTTAAGAGAGTTTAGAGTAACACCCAAATCCTCAAGGTGAGAATAACACTCAAGTTAACACTCTAGGGCCGACATTCTTAGTCAGGTCTTATAATTAAGATCGTCTCAAAGTCTCTCTTAAGATTCCATTCATCCAATGAAATGGCCGCACAGCAGCAGACAGCATAAGACTGTATTTAAGACAATCTGAAATATAAATGTCGGCCAAAGTGAACGTTAAAGTTGTAAAGGATGCTACACTTACATGCAGACCAGTACGATGGGTTGCCTACCCGTTTCGTTACGTGCAAGCACGTGAAGTTATGTATGGACTGATGCACCTGCACATACAAAACATACAAAAATGTTGATAACTCAGAAATGGTTGAGTTTTCGACCTATGTTTGCTAAAGTTCTTTTACTCAGGTATGGTATGTGCTATCTACCACATAAATATTGGTTTCTTTTTTAACACCCTATATAATCATGTCTACTTATTCATATAATTACGTTTTATCTCAGAATTCTCTTTTCTAAAGATACTTGTACATAAAACTGTGTCCTCCTATTCTTCTGCATCCATTGCATTATCCGATCACATGATACGACAATGATATCTGTTTATGAGCCGCGAGAGAATATTTGCGTTTCTTTGCTACGAAATGAGATCGCGCTACGTGATTTACGACAGATCGCGATATATATATGTTACGGGGTTGCGTGATTTGCTTGCTGCGCAACGATCGGTCGACTACTCTCGATTTATCTCGTTATTAATTAGTGCATCCTGTGTCCTTGCATTTCCGTCGAAGAAATGCAGATGCAATTTACCAGACATCGTGTGATCTTGACGTAATATTCTGTTGTAAACGCGCGTGGAGGATACGGCCATCTAAAGCAAGATTGAAAAAGGAAATCTACCTTATATGTCATATTTTATGTTAAAAAGTATCATGACAAATTTTAAGATACTTCAGGAAATTCTTAACCAAAAGAAGATTTATTACAGTATTCTGAAAACGTCTCAACGAGGGCTATAGAATATGCAATATGCAAAAATGGGGAGTTACATTTACAAAATTCAACGTGACTTTATTCTGACCTTGGCTATGCCATTCAAGGTTAAATTGAATCGAATTAAAAGATCAGTAAATAAAACTTTTTAAACTCTACAACCTTTTTCCGGGGACGCTTTCCTATATAACTTATATTTTCCGAGATTTCTCAGAGTTTCCATACTTTTTCCTCGCCCTGTACATTATACTGCTGCTGCAACGTTACATTATAATATTTCTGCAAGCGAACATTTTACTATTGCTGCAATACTGCTAAAATCTTGCTGTGCTGTATGGCTCTTGACTTTTAAAAATCATCGTTATAGTTTTAATGACACGAAAATCCGGTTTTTTTTCAATTTTTCCGCAGTTTTTCGATTTCTTGGTGCGGATAAATGAAAGAAATTAAAAAAAAAACGAATTTTTCAATTTTTCCGCGAGTTTTATCGGTTTCCTTCTAGGAAAAAAAAAGAAAAAAAAAGCAGTTTTTAATTATATAGGCCATTTCATGTAAAAAATGTATTCGTAAAGCAAAAAGCAATTGACCAATCGACTTTTCTCCTTACGGTATAAAAATAACCAACCACGTCTGGTCAATTTGCTTTATGGTTAAAAAATTTTTTCACGTGCAAAGACCTTAAGTCGCTGAATAACTCAAAGCGAAACGCATGAGTCAGGAGAAGTCGCGGCTAAATTTAGGTAAATGACGGCGATTCACATCGAATGCTAACTATGATGAATGAGAGCGCGAACGTTCGAGCCGCTTTCGCGTGTCTTCAATTCCGGTGTCGATCATCGAGGAGGAGGTGGAGAAGGAGGAGGAGATTGCTAAATTGCCGCTGCACTCCCGCGGAAGCACGACGTGTTACAGCATATTACGTAACGTGGCGTACGTGATCGGAGATACATGCCAGCTCGCCGTGCTGCAGCAGCAGCTGATCAATAAGATTCGATGAACCCAACCTGGTTCCGAGACTTTCGAGTATTCTCGAGCCATTAAAGCCGTTGCTTTAATGGAAGGAGAGGGAGAACAGAAATTTCATCGAGTCATCTGGCCGGCTCTTGAAAAATATTAGCCGGTTCGGAAGCCGCGGAAAAAAATGTTCTTCCATTGTTGATCTTCCTCTAGACAAAAAACGAAGACTCAGGCGTGAAGTCCGATGGACGGTGATTAATCGCAAGTGGGTATTCGGCTTGTAATGCTCCACATCTGCCGTCGGCGAATAAATTTTAATAATTCTTAACGAAGGAACGATTCAATATCGATCGCACGATCATAGCTGACTCGATATCAAGCAATAGAACGGCGGTAAAAGGAACAATAATTGCCAAACTACATTTTCCATTTATTTGTAGAATTAGAAAGTAATATGCTACTTGTCGTCACTCGTTGCAAATTACACTTTTCTAATATAATGACTTTTGGTAAGAACGTTAATTGTTTTTCGTTAGTAACGGAAATTAAATTTTTTTCGGATGGCGGTAACGAATACAGTAATTATTTTTTATCGTTTGCATGCGTAGAATATACGTGTATAGGATGGGCGAATTCTACAAAAACTTTTTCCAAACCTGATGAAAAAATAACGGAAATTGTAACGATTCCCCTATAAGCGCGTAACATTATTTAATATTAAATAATATTTCTGGAATATTAATAGATAGGTTATATGTCCACCCTTCTAATAATATTAAAAAAATAACATTATTTAATGTTATTGTAATATTATATATTTTTTAAATATACAACTCTATGTATATATATATATATATATATAATTGTAATTTTTTTATTTAAAATGTACCGCAATTGTTTTATTATATAAATAAAGCCGAAAGAATTTAGTGTGAAAATACGTTTTATACTAAAAAAATTATACATACATATACTCGTATATATATAGTTATTTTTCTCAATGGGTAATGAATACTGATAATGCGTTATTTTTCAAAAGTAACTTCCCTAGCCCTGCTTGATTGTTCTCTTTTCAGAGTTTTACATTTATCATTTATTCGTAATGTAGAAACGAGATAAGTACAAAATTACATCAGGTGCTGCTCGGAACAGCATCGAATAAACGAAAAACGCCGAAAGATGCAAACTACGATATTTTTCGCCGATGACGTTACGAAAGAGAGAGAGAGAGAGAGAGAGAGAGAGAGAGAGAGAGAGTACACACATTGTTATCACGACTGATAACGCGACTGTTAATAAATAGTCGCTCGCTAAACATCAAACATCAATCTCGGTTAACAACGCCTGTCGGGCTAATTGCCAGCTCTTCTTTGCCGAGGCAAATAGATTCTCGGAAAGTCACGGTGCTTTCGTGGAAAATAGATACATATGTTAGTCAATGTAACGCCAATGTACTACTAGAGGTAATAAATATCGCGCCTATAAAGATGCAGCGATACTTCCAGAATGAACCGTGACTAATATCGAGCATACATCTGAACATCGCGATGACACGCGCAATGTCTACATAGACACAATCACTATCGCACGCGTCTCATTGGTCGGATAAAGCATGGCAGCTAGCCTTACGTGGTTTCTCTGTGTGAGAGAAAAGCTGAAATATCGATTGCATCATAACAACTGTAAAATTTGCGTGAAAAAAACACTCAAACTCGCGCACATTCTCAGTTCATTCCAGTGATATATTAGGTAAGCGTTTTTTTCTCTCGCAAGTTTCCGCTTCATATATAATTTTCATATATAATGAAAAGACTTCGCACTTTTATTCCATTAAAAATAACTCGGACAGCATAAACTTCTAAGACCTGTAATATTAGCTATTGTTTTGGAAACTCAGGTGAGAGATATTCAAATTTGAATTTAGATTCAGCGGTTGTTCAATTGAATCGCGATTACATGTAACGTCGCATATATTATACGGTTCGAATGAAACACTTAAATTTAACTCTATATTCAGAACATTCTTAATATCTTACGTGAGTCGAATTTCACGTAATGACTACTCTATAATACGATCCTAAGAGACGTCTTACCTCGTAAAAAATAACACCTACTATACAAAAAAAAAAAAAGTAGAAATCATGATTTTTCTATTTTTCCTTTATTAAGTTTATCAATTTTTATTTATTTATTGTCTTTGTAGACTGGTTGCCAGCAGGAAGCCAATTATTGAATGAAGCTGATAATAGCGGTGATCGCATGAACTCAAATTTCTTTTCTGAGTAATAGAGGAATAAGAGCGAGATAATAGCGCATTGCACAAAACATGGAAGAGAGAATAAGTAAAAAAAAAACATGTGTTTTCAGCCTGTCGGGGCTAAAGAGATTTCAAATCAGACCTTATTTCGGATGTTTTTTTCGAAGACATCGTCTGGAAATTTGTGCTGTCCGGGAAGAGATATACATGTAGATTCAGGTAACATTATATCAACATTATAAATTCGATATACAACATATGTAACATTGTTGAGCACGAAGTTATAACATTGATGTAATGTCGGAGATTGTCGTTCGAGCTGAATCTACATCGTTTTCACGCCGAATTTCGCGAAAGAGGCTCTCTCTCTCTGATGCGGTGGACCATTTTAGATAGAGGCGATGCGCCAAATACTATGTTTATCCAAACGACTTGGTGACGGGCATTAAACTCCGGGATATACTCGCACGTACGTGCGGCCGGGAATGATTATCGCGAACCTACGTTTACGCAAATTACGGCGGTGTCAAAAGAGCTGATGTAATTCACTCGCTCGCACGTTGGAGAGTCCGGTGTCAACACACTGTATATAAGAGAGTGCCGGCCGCAAATATGTTTCAGTAAAGGTCCTCGCGACCGCCTATTTATATATGCGTTACTCATGCAACGATGAAAAATGTTCCAGGGTGCTCTTTTACGTGTCTTGTATATAATATTTAATAATATAATATTCTAGAAATATTATGCGCTTATATTTAATTTAATTTTTGGTAACTTTTAATTAAAACCAACCTTGACAGTGAAATGAAAAATATCGGAGAGAGATCTGAAATAAGAGCGAAATCTGACTGATAATTACATCTTGTTACTCTGATATTTTCGCTTCTAACCATTTCTATATTGGAGGACACAACCTGTCACTGGCCCTTGTATTGATTGGAAATATCAATAGAGCCTTTTTTTATGTAATTTGAAAGATCAATCAATACACAGTTAATGTAGCATATGTCATATCATTTGCTGAAACTTTCGTGACTAAAAACGGCTAAGGAAAACGACCTTTTCCTTCAAGGTGGATGTTTGTGAAATTTTGACAAATCAAATGGTCAGATATATTATTATTCTCGTCACTAGTTGGATGCAAGCCGCAGAGAGAAAGCACGTTTTGCGCGCCTTGTGAATAAATTCAAAAGTGAAACATTACATATCGAATCGCGCTTCAAGTGGCAGCAAGGCGGTGTTATTTCCATCATGAGATATCACAACGTATAACAACGCTATAAATTGCGATTTATTGTTGCGACAAATGTTCGTAGACAATATCGTCGAGTTAATAATATATATATTACGCTCTACCAAAACAGAATACACACGTGATGGTAAAACGATTACTGCCGGCAAATTTATTTTTAAATTTATACATGGCGTGCTACATTAACTCACACTTACTTTTTAAAGTCTACTACTCGAAAATCGAGGATACATTAATGAAAAAATAATGTATATAGAAATAAACTATATGAGTATAGTAATGATCACGAATGCGCTTAATTAACGGCGATCTATGTGAAAGATACAAAAGAAGGGAATTGTTACTTTTAGCTCTGATCCATTGCATTCGTTTCGTTCACGTTGCTACCGCTGCAATCCTTTTGTATTATCTCGAAAAGCGGCTGCAGATCCGGTGTCCCCTTGATTTGTCCGACGAATTCACTCAACGACGGATTTTTATCTACAGACAGAATATAAACCTCTTGAGAGGAGTAGAAGAGTAGTTGAAAAGTCAGTAAAATTTTACTTGTTATTACATTGTTTGGAAGTATTAGCGCGTTTCTTCCGGTTGGTAATCAACAAGTTATAAAAAGATATTGAAGAGGGGTTTTAATTTTTTTCAAAAATTCTTAAATAAATTTTCCACTCACCCGCGTCGGGAATAGTTAATAACGCTGCAACGGCTCTCAGTGCAGAGCGTTTTAATTCGTCTTGTTTCTCATATTCCTGCTTCACAGAGTTCGCCTTCACCTTCATCGTGCACGTGCTCTTCAGCGGCTCCACTAATCGCTCCAACCCTATGTAACAATACAATGCGTAAGGAAATTTTTAATTATCGGTGAAAATGAATATTTCGATGAAGCGACACTTCGTGTAACTAATTTTCCGTTGTCAGACGAAAACCCGAGGTTCTATAAAAACACAAAGATTTCTATTGAAATGATTGTTATCTCAGCCGAATGTTCAGACGAATGTCCTTGATCGCGACAATAGAGATATCGTTTCTTATTATCGAGTTTTTGTCAAATAAGAACAAGTCGAGAAAAAAATTCGCCAAAACTTTTCACGGTTGATGAAAGGTTCATCGATTTGCTTTTTCCATTTTCAAGTTTTCATCCTTTTAATTTGTAAGATTTAGATTAAATTTGAAAGAGAGTCGCACAAGAACGCTCACTTTGCAAGACTGCGGTTGGACACAATTGAGCGAGCCGCGCGGTCATAAGGTAAGTCAACATCTTGATATCGTAATGGTCCCTGAGACCGTTCTCCACGTGATTCAAGAACTCGAAGACGTCCAATCTATCGAGACAAGAGTCCAGCAGGGTATACATGCACTCGAACGCCGCTTTTCGAAGATCCAGTCCGTCGTCCACGGTATGCTTAAACGGGCCCATCTCGACTTCCCTTATTAGTTCTTTCTGCACATTGAGACAGATTCATATTTGTACACTCCAAGTCTACCTCGTCACTTAGTGGATTTTTCCTTTTCATTATTGCAGCTTTAATTTCAAATAGTCAAAAGAAAGATACACCCAACATCTAACACCTTGATAAAATTATAATATCACGAGTGTGTAAAAGCTTTGGTTTTCGCAAGTTTTCCGCTTTATTTTTAAAACTTGTGCGTGATAAACATTGCCGATATATAAACGAGCAATACTGTGAATTCATCGCAAAGACGATCGAAGATCTTGTTGCACGACTGACAGATGTCACAGGTTTATATTGCTTGAAAGTGATTTTCCTTTGATTTCGTTAAATTCGTCCTTTATTACCTTTATCTTAGTTTCCGTATAAAGATGCGGCAGCACCACGTCCAACAGATCCCTTATCAGCATCGGCTTATTATGTGCTGCGGAATTAAATGCAACCAACGCTACCCTTCGCACGTTCAGATCGGGATCTTCCAGGGCAATCAGGAAATTGCCCATACATTGCTTCAACATAATATCAATCTGTTGTGGCTGTAATGCAAATAAATGTAATGTTAATTGTACAGAAATCGTGTAACGTATATATACGATCGGTGAGACCTATAACATACCTGGTCAGAAATGGTGAATTTTACCGCAGTGACTGTCGTTGTTCTCATAAGCGCCGACGGCGATTTGAGCGATTCTTGTAACTTCGGCAACAGAATGGAAGGATCGATTAGTGTCAACTTACCGAGACATTCGGCCACGACGTTGCGAGTACCTTCTTCCGTGCATTCGCAATGCCTGTACAAAAGCAACCAGATTGAAGGCACAAAATTCTGCAAATGCGACACGCCGGACGGGCTGGCAGATTGACACGTGATAATCTGTTAACGGAGAAGAATTATGGTCTTTCTTTCGCGAAAGTTTAGCAGTCACGACGTGCTATTCTACCTCTTTCAATGAATGCAGAAGCAAATATTGACGTTTCGGCTGAGCCTCGATTTCTTGAAGTATAAAAGGCAGATATTCGGGAAGATTTCCAACTGCGATGTTGCCCAACGTGTAGCTGGCTGCGGACTTCACCTCTTCCGAGTGCGACGAGAACGAGCTTAGAATCGTTTGTTTCAGCGAATTGATTTCACTCAAATCCCTGCAACGGAGAAATTATTATTCCGCCGAGTTGTAAGCCTATTGAGAGGCTCATAGAGGAGAGAGGTCAAGAAAGCAATACGATAAATCTGTTGCAAGAGAGTATGTCCTTACACGTGTCTTCCTATCTCCCCGATGACCAGGAGAGCGAAAATATGCTGCGCATCGTTCTGCGGATTCTGAACGTCCTTCAACAACTGCTCCACGATACCCTGAGCCTCTTGATGCCACGTGATTGTCAGCGCGGCCGCACACTTGGCGAGGGAGTGATAAGCCTGCTTGTGAAGTACCGACTGAGTAACCGGCACCACCAGCATCGCAAGAAGCTCTCGGTAGCCGAGGCCTGGCACTTCCGCTTGAACTAGCGCTTGGAAAAATTCGAGCATCGAATTCAACGCGACACCTGTAAAACAACGGAAAAACGAGATAGCGATGTAAGTCGCGCTAAGTTTCCGACTTTCACCCACCCTGGAGGAGCGGCGATTTCACCAAAACGAGTATTTCCGGCAGGATATGATCGGAGACCCTGGTCAGAGCGATCGGGTGTAGCTTCGCAATGGTAGTGAGAAGATTCAGCGTTAACTGTGCAATATGTAGATCCGTCTCGCTTAACAACGCGGGTAATTCCGTAGTAACCTGTGGAAAAAAAAAGGAAATGATTGATAGTCACTTAAGGCTCTCTTTTCTTCGTGATTATGAATGACGTTAAGAACGAGAAAAATACTATTTACGTAAACGTAAACTAAAATTCTTGTGGAATACATTGAAGGATATGTCCATAAAATGATGCACTTGTGATTGATTGAACACATTTGTAAAATATTTCAAAAACTTGTTCGATCAGTAAGTAACCGTAAAATTAGTTTGCATGTTGTGCTAATTTTACCAAAGGTCATTCTTGAAAAAGTACGAAACTAGTGAGTGGGGAGAAGAGGAGCCTTAATCGACATACACAACCAATGACATTACCTTGTCAAGTAGATCTGCATGCAGAGCTGAACTGTAATTGCGCACCAAGGTGTCTAATAGAGGAAGAGAAGAGAGTTTCAGAGCTCGTTGATTTTTCCTCAGAAAAGATCCAAGGATAGGTATTGCTTCCTCCTGCAAACAGCGATGACGTCTCACGTAAACAGTCAAATATGTAATCATAAATAACATGTAAATACCATGATCGGCTGCAGATCCACTCTCAGCGGAGACGCAGCTATGCAGGTTAGAGCCTTAACAGTCGTGAGTCTAGTTATCTCGTTGCGCAATCTGTCCAAGAAAATTGGCAGGCATATGTGCAGCTCGTTCGACAAGCTATCGCCGAAATGGGCGAGAATCTGGCCCATGCAAGCGATGGCTCTCTCTTTCACCTCTTGATCTATGTCCGCCGTTCTCAGTCTCTTTAATGTGCAATGATATATCTCGCCGGACAACGAAGTGAAGTCGAAGTAACACGGCTTATCTGGAAGAATTTCCAGATTAATTCACTGATAAAAATCAGTCCGAAACAAATGATTTTGTTATGTTCATTAATACAACAGTTCGTTATTTTGTTCGAAAATGCCTAAAATTTCCGAAAGTCATGATTTTTGGGGAACGATATTTATTTGTTTTAATGAATACTGTGTATGCTCTGGAAATTCGACGATAACTTTTCTGAGCATACTCTGTATATAATTACAAAATAATCAGTCAGTTATTCCATGTGAGAAGGAAATGTTGGTGGGACAACGTATGTTAACTTACCGTGAGGCCTGATGACTTGTACGAGCTGCTGCAGTACAAGCAACGCCTCAGCGGTGATCTTATAGAAGGGATCCCCGACAGCCAGTATGATCGGCGGCGCCAGAACGGACATGTGAGCGTGGAACGCCTCGGGCTCATGCGTCACCAGTAGCGTGTGCACGAAGGCCAACGTGTCGATCTTCATGTTCGAGGACGAGTTCTTGTCACCCAGGGAATATTGTATGCCAGGGATCAATGCTGGGATATGATTGGTCAGAGCGCCCGGTAAGACGAGCACCAGTTCCTTCAACAAGGAGAAGCAATCCTGCCTCGTCTTGATGCTCTTCTCCTTCATTTGCCGATGGACCGCTTTTACTATCAACGGCACTTGCTGTTGCAATAACGAGACAGGCCCGTCGTCGTCTTCCATCGCGTCAGGGTCGAGCGGCACGCCGGTAGCTGGCCTGGTTTGCCTCAACAGAGCGATATACGCGTGGAAGATGTCGGATTTAACGTTTTCCTCTCTTTCTGCAATAGTGTCATATATAAAAAAAAAAAAGCGATAAATTTTCAGGCCTGCTGAATGTCTAGGAGACATAATTCCAGATAATTGGTGAAATTAAGAAGCTATTTATACTACACACATTCTTATAAATAAATTTTGCGCGATACTTGCCTTTAAACCTACATATTAGAGCAGGCGAGACCACTTTGTAAAGGTCCGACAGTAACTCTCTTCTACTGGATACGACAGCCTCCAGACACTTCGCAGCTGCTCTACGAACTTTCCAACTCATATCGTCGTCGTCGGAATATTCGTCCTCGGCATCCTCCTCACCATCCTCCTCCACTTCCATCACAACGCCTTCTCCGTCAGAGAAGTCATTCATATCGTCATCGTAATTATAGTTTGGATCGTAGGTGATATATATTAAACAAATCTCTATGATCTAATATTGAGAGAAAAATTCCGTTTATAGCAGTTTCACACTTCCATTAAAAAATATGACCAATCCGAATAATGTACCTTGTTTATGTGCGGCGTGATCTCTTTCGGACATCTGTAGACAAAAGATTCAAATGCTTGCAGACAGTACTCCCTTAATTCATCATCATCCTCATTGCTGTATTGGACAATCAATGGCATAACACGTTCTATTTGCTCGCCAAATCTGTGACCCGCTTGTCGGCTGCGAGAAAGAAACTTTCATAAATCGCCAATTGATCTTTACAATGATATGCAATCACCGATTACTAACCAGATAGAGGCGATACATTGGATATAGGTGCGTATAACGTTCTTTGTGGTTTGGGTCGAGAGACCCTGAAGAAGCTGATCCAGCAATTTATTGTATAAATAATTGTTGCTGGACGTCAATAAGTGGCTGAGCGCTACTATAGTGCGTTTGCGAACCGCTTGACGTGGTGAAGAAAGCTGCGGTGACAGCGCGTTCAGAATGGTAGAATGGAACGAGACTAAGAGCGCGCCGAATCGAGACAGTAAGTCGGCGACGATGTCGAGGGCTTCGAGTTGTACAGATACATCCTCTTGCTAGAAACATAACATATTATACAGTCGTAAGGTTGTTGTAAAGTTAAGGTTGTTGAAGATATCAAAGCGGATCGGAATTAAGATAAAAATTACAGCAGGAGACATTTCACCTTTTCGATAGCACTGCTTAATTTTCCAGTGATACGCCTACAAATATTTGCAACTAACGCACTAGAACCCAAAGGAAGCTCAGAAATAACAGTCTTCAAACCGATGCTGGAGATATCACGTAGCTGCTCTTTATCAGATACCATGTTGCTACACAGGGCATCCACAATAGTCTCCACTTGATATTCTTTCACTTTATTGACTAACGGACCTAAGCTAAAAATGCAAAGCATTCTTAAAAGTGTGTTTTTGGATGAAAACATTTTTTTTTTAATTTTACTCGCTCTCAGACTTGATTAAAAACAAGTTTGCAATGTTATTAGTAGTTATTATAGAAATAACATGTAAAAAATAATTTCCTTTCTAATGTAACATCCAGATAAGTGTACCATTTTACAGCAAGATTTTGCACTTCTCCATTCTTGTCCTCCAGCAACTTGAGCAGCATCTTCACAACTTTGCGTTCGGAATCGTCGTCCAACTTGATGCTATCTTTCTGCAGTTCGCTCATCAAATCATTAGTTGCCATAAATCTGAAGTCCTTGTCACTGGACGTCATCTACACAAGATTAGTATTCAAGCATTGCCACATACATATGGAACCGGAGAGAGAAAAGACGTATATATGACCGATGTTATGTGAATTCAAAACGTTATTTTATAATCGCACGTCACGATAAATTCGTGACAAATCGATCGAACAGCACACACTTGTCGGATCATTACACGTGTGAGTTTTTGGGAAATTATCGCGGTGAAGCAATTGTGTTTTCGTCTCTCGCAGCGGGTTCACGACAAAATGCGAGAGATCAATCGAGATTCGGGGGGTAGGTTATGTCACGAGAGAAAACATGAAGAGACCAATTTGAACGACCGAGCGATAAATAACGTCTCGCCGATCGCTATTATTAGAAGTGTGTGTATACCTTACCTTTTCCAGCAGATTCGCTATTTGATAGGAAACACTGGCCATGGTGTTAGGGGGGGGCTCTCTCGCAGGCCGGTTCGATTGGCGATAGAGACGCGCTACGATTATGTCCGGCGTGTTGCAACGCAACGAAAAAAAAGGAAAAACAGCGGCTGTTTTTCGACGATGCAACGCCGGCAACAGCGACACTCTTTCGGAAAGGGAGAGGGGGGGGAGGGACGATCGTGCGACGAAATTCTTATCGTTTCTCTTCACAGCGGCTCCGCCGGCAGCATCTCAATAGCTGGACAACTACTACTGACGCGAGATTTCGGGTTGTTCTTATTGTTCTCGCGCTTCCAACGTCCCTGCCGAAAAGTGCAAGCAACACGCTTTGCTAATGCCCGTGTCGGATTAGATTGCAATTTAACGAATCAGTGTAAAGCTCACTAAAGTCAAGTTTAGTTAATCTCGCTCTGATTGGTCACATTTCAATCCGTAATGTGACATAAAGCCCGTATCAGACCACGAATTGAAATCAATCAGTGCAAAGTTCACTCAACTCAAATTGAGTTAAACTTGCCCTGATTGGTCAAATCTCAATCCATAGTGTGATACGGGCCTAACAGTTGCGTTCAGAAAACACAACGATTGTACAATGGATTTAGACTAGTACGAAGCGATATGCAATGAGCGTGCAGAGGAAGCAGTACGTTCATTGGATCTCGCGCTGGCTGCGAGACAACTGTTATATAATTAATTCACAAAGGCGGGAAAACAATCATTTCTGTTATGTCCCAGCGAGTAAAATGTAACAAGATTAAGTTATTGTATTAAAGGAATGAGAAATGAGCTCGACAAAACTCGATAGTTTGCTCGATCAAGAAAACCGAGAGCAACTGCACAAATTCGTGCAAGAAACACGAACCGACGAAGTAAGAGAAATATCCGGGTTACAATTTTATTGTTATCGCGTTTATATCTCTATGAATTACATTTGTTATATTAACAAAATCAAAATCAAATACTTACAAAATTTACAATATCATAAGATAATAATGAGTGAGTGATTGTTTTTCAGCTTGTAAAAATAATATCTGACAGAATATGTGACTCAGATATTTCCAAACTATTAGATAGGATCTTACAAGTATGTTCAGAGTCTGAAAATCTATATTCAAAGAGATTCAAGTTAATAGAATCCATCTTGAAAGCTCTAGCTAAAGCTGAAGTCCCGATCAGTCATGTGAGTGACATTGTCAATCGAATAGTGGTTGATTTTCCTAATTATCCAAAACTACACCTGATCAAATTGGTAGAATTTTGTCTGGCCAGTATCCATAATAATGATGATGATTTCACAAGGTATACAACATACTTTTTTCATCTATAAGACGAACAAAGCTACGTAAAAGACCGACTTTGTTTCAGTTGGAAGGATTTATTACCTGTTCTTCTGGAAGTACTGGAAGATGAGAAATGTATTAATTACATGAATGGAGAAATTTCTGGATCCAAGTACAAATCTCTCATCATTAACAATATATGTAACAGCAAGTGGAATACAGAAATTATGCCTTCGTTAGCGATGATGTTTAGGTGAGTGTTCTAATTATTTTCAGTGAAAAAAATATAAGTAGCTAAACAAACTATTTTGTATTCAGAGATATGTCTTTCGAGAAGGAGGATCATACCTTGGTTATCACTGTACTATGCACAAGACTACAAGATATACCTCTCGAAGAATTGCCTCCCTTTGTACATCAGGCACTAAGACTTTGTAATAACCAAGACAGTAAATATCTTTTAGAGGCACTACGTAGATACTTCACGCTGCGTTTCTCCCAAGTTAATTCTGATGATACAGACACCTTCGAGACTATTGGTAAGGAGAATATATTTAAGAAATTGAAGAGGCATTTATCTAATTGATTTTGTTGTTAACCGTAGATACCATAAGCACTAAGGAAATTCAAGATATCGAGAGTACAGTATTATATCACGTGTACCAAGCAGCGCAGTTAAATCATCAGCACATAAGGGACTACATTCGGTATTCTAAAAATATATCGAGCAATCCTGAAGCTGTACTGGAGCCCTTTATGCTTTCGGTATTGCTCACAGTCGCTTCTGTTTGTGAAGATCAGGTTAACAAACAATTGAGATTAATTGATGCTTTTAATTGATTTTAACTCGTCCTAATTCTTTCGAATGCTATCAATTCGATGTGTTTGAAACAGATTTTCGAGATACTGCATACGGTTATAAATAAGTGGAACGAGAATGACAACAGACGGAAGAACAGCATGTGGTTGAGAAAATTGACCCCTGAGTCCTGCGATATAATGACTGTGATGGTAAACATCATAGACGCCAGGTAAATATGTGGATACATTTTACAAATATATTCTAACGTCAAATTCTTCAACAGTGAGAGAGACCGGCATTTAGTACTGAAGGGACTTGTAGATCTCGCATTCGGCCTCATGGCTACAGAGTGCAAGTCGAAGACAGGCGCGCATCCTTTGTGGAAAATCGGCATTAAAGTGCTCCAGAGAATCATGAGGAAACACCACGAAACGGTCGCGACTGTGCTTCAGACGCTGATCGATAAAATAATCGCCAGTGGATTGTCTATTTCGCAATACACCGGTAAGATCTCAAAATGTTATTATTAATATCGATGCATTGGTTGAGCCTCCTGACGTATCCTCCAAATATATTAACTGACTTATCATTTACTAGAACCTACTTTTAGGATCTATTGATAGTTATAAATGTGGCCCGAAAAATTACAACAAAAAAGAGATATGCCCATTTCCTTTCTCTAACTTTCTGAGTGCAATCAGTCATTCTTAAGACTTGATTTCATTCACTCGTCTCGAACTGTAATTTCTTTATTGAAATTGAAGAGAATCTGCGATAGATCGAAATGATTTTGCACGAGATTAATAAATTTATATGTTCTAATAGCGGTTTTTGACTTTCATTTCACTCTTAACATTCCTTTTTGTTTTTTGTTTATCACTTAGAAAAAAATCAATTTCTTTCTAATATTTTATGATAAAATTTTCCAATTTCTTTTTTAATGAAATCACTTTATATTAAATTTTTCAGACTATCGCCTGTCTTATATTCTCTGTTAATTAAATTTCTAAAATCGAGATTTAAGGGGTTAACACATAATTAACACAAATTTATTCATTTGTAGATTGTTTGGCGTACATGTGTCGCAAGCTACCGATTCTCGTATTGGAACAAAAGGATTTCGTGACTAGTCTCCTTGATCAGATCTCATCTGTGCCCGGCGAAGTTTCCATATTCATCATTTCCGCGATATTTCCATTGATAAATACTTCGGCCAACATCAGAGAGCAAACGATATTAACGTTGAGGATGATTCTCTACAGAAAGGGTACGTTCAATCGACAAATGGCGATCAGCGGTCTCTCGGAGCTGTTGAAGAACTTGAAGAAGTGTTCGTTGAGCGGCCCTATGTTGAACTCAAGCCAGTGCATCACTTCATCATCGATCAGCACCAGTTTTGTCTCGACCCAGGTAACGATTGTACACCAGTCATATACATTATATAAACTCTAATGTTACATCAACTATATGTAATGACTAATGTTTATACTACCCCCTCTTAATATTTTTGTACGTAGAATGAATGACAGAGAGTCGATTATTGTAAAAGATATAAAAACCTTGGAAAACAATTATCTATAATTTTTATATATTTTAAAATGCTTTAAAGATATATTTTTACGTTATGCTTATAAAATGATGTATTAATATTAGTAATATATAATTAATATTTTTTTTTTCTCTCTGTTTCAGGTGACATTAGAAAGAGGATCGCAAGCAATGGGACCTAATGTGGTGTACAATAGATGTTTGAGTTACGACTTGTTGGGAATTCTGAGAAAATGTTTCACTCACGAATACGAAGTCCGGTTATATTTGTACAACAGTACGTGAAAATACGCTATTACATGTTTCGAACAAAAATCACTGATTGTCAATTTCTCACACTATCATCCAGGTCTGTATGACGTTGTATCGAGAAACATCGAGATCGGCGAATACATACTGGAGATGTTATTGCCGCACTTCCGATTGTACTTCGAAGATGACGAAAATATCTTGCTGCCCATCAAGCTGGAACTATGCGTACAAGGGGAGCAGGCTGTATTGCAGGAACCTCTGGCGGAGCTGATATTTGTATTGCAGAAGATCTACATCAAGGCGGCTCTGCTGAAATCGCCTCTCGTAGATGAGCTAGCTGTTATCTTGGAGTCTCTCTGCAGGCGAATGCCGCGAGTCGATACGGAACACCTGAATCTGGCAAGTTGAAACGAGAATTTTCCAGAATACTCCTGTAACTCGGAGGAAGACCCCAGTTCTTCAATAGGATTTTTCCCTCAACAGGACGACAATCTCGATTTAAACAGCGTCAAGTCGCGGGAAAAATTGCAGAATGTTCTGACAATGATCAAGATTTACGAGGCCCTTATATCCTTCAGGATAGGCGCGTGGTCAGTGAATTGTACCGACGCCGCGCAAAGTGTCAGGAATCTGTTCAAAGGATACATGAATTTAATTGAATTTACAAAGGTGACAGATGTATCATTTGTCATATGAAAGAGGAAGAAAAATATTTGTGAAAGCAAAGAATCCTGATTCGGATAATTATAGTTAACTGTGTATTATCGTGTTACACTTAACTTAAGTTGTCCAACTAAAGAGACTTTGCTCTCTCACATAGGTCTTCCTTAATAATATTCTATTCTGTTATTATATATAGCTCTATTTTTCTTAAGAATGTTAAATATATCGAAAGGTATTAAACAGTCATTTACTTAATTGTATATATTTTTTAATATAATATTATATTTTGTATACACTTATTTATATTCTATTACAAATATTCTTATTCCTCTTTCATTTGATTTATAACACAAAGAACTTATAATAGATCCAGAAGAAATAGATTGCATCATTTATCTGTTAATATATATTTATAGTATCTCGATATTTATATATAATTGACGCAAGTTTTGCTTTAAGTGCAGCATGTACCAAAGGTTAAGAAGGGTCCAGGCAAAAATAAGAAACAAAATGACCCAAATAATTCGACCATGAAGAAGGGTGGTCGGTCGAGTAACATAAAGCTACCACCTAGCATCTTGGATCTGTCTGTAGTGTGCAAAAGCTTAACGCTCTTTTACCTGTAAATATCTTTTCGCACCTAGAAAGTATATAACCGATTGTAATAATATTATAATAATATGAGTAAGGGTAATATTACAGAACAATTACAAAGTTGATTTTATGACACGATACAACAATTCATATTTATTAAAATTGTTATATTATGCCATAAAATTGGCATTTCTTTCGGTTCTTGCAATTCGTAGAATCATATAAAAGATTTCCTTGTAAAATTCTAATGTCATAATTGATTTACCACGATTAGGAGACCGGTTCCTTGGGCAAGTGCGAATCAAGTAGCCGTTTTAGCGGAATATCACGATTTCTACCATTACATACTGCGAACGTTGCTGCAAATCTTGCAGAGCGTCAAGCACTTGACGGAATACAATTTACGGAGGCACAAAGATCAAAACATGAAGGTGTACTGCGAAATTGGAAAGTAGGGAATACGCACATAAATATTACGTTTTCTTTTCTTTTTTTTTTAATATTCCAATTGTAAATTCTAAATCTCTTCCTTTCTATAATTCAGATTATTATACGATCACGTTATATTAGATTTGAAGAAAGTTCTCGATGCGGACGAACAAGGAAGTATATTAGCACTGGAATGTTTTAAAGAATTATGTTACCTAATCTGCACCACTTTCGCCACCGAATTACAGCGATTTCTCGATAATATCGTTCGTGAGTAATTTAAGATATTATTTAATACGTGCCCGAGAATGTATATATATATATATATATATATGTGTGTGTGTGTGTGTGTGTGTGTGTGACATTATATTTTAGCTAACGAGCAAAACCGATCGGATAATCTTAACATACCATTAGCAATTATAATTTCCACCGTAAGAACGAGTTTCAGAACGTTCTTCGGAGAGAAAGAGGGATATGAAGAAAATTCCAAAAAGATACTTTGCACGCTGCTGGATATTATACGTCAGCTGACGCAAGAGATTAACTTTTATGAAACGCATGACGACAAAGTTAGTCTTTTTCATAATCAACATATTATCGAATAAATAAATAGGGCGTTAAGGAATATTAAAATCTGTTGCATAAGATATTCGAGTCGATGATAGAGTTGGCACAATTGAACGGTATAGATCCTCAAGCTTCCTTGATTATTTTTCAAATCCTATTGTGGATAGAAGAGCGCGATGAAGAGTACGGCGAATTATTAATCGATATCACTTTTTCGCTATGCGAAGTAGTGGGCAACATCGATAAGGTATGTAATCAATGTATAACATACACAGTGTCTGAACTGTTTGTTTGATTTAGAATGATCTCTAGAACATATTTTAGAAGTTTGTCGGTTTCCTCTCACGGAATACCTTAAATAATTAATATTAGTACCGTATGGCGTAAATTAATTTTCGTCGTAAAATAGAATTTCTAATTTCAAAAATTAACTCAATTTAAAAAATTGAACCTTATTAAAAAAAAAAGTAGATATTTAACAAAAGGCCCTTGTATTTTTATATAAACGCGAAATTTATATATATATATATAATACAAGAACTTTTTGTTAAATATCTACTTGCTGCAGACTGAGATACCGGAGAATAATAAATTCAAGATTGCACACGAAGATACAGCGTTACAGCTTTACAATCTACTGAATAGCTCGGTGAAAGAGAAGTTAAAAAACGCGTCGTGGCTGTTGGTGCGACTTAAAGCTGAACAGAACATAGCTTGTCTATCTGGTGCGGATATGGAAACGCGTGGGTATACTTTTGTATTTATATCTGTTAATTGCGCATGTTTTCCTGGTAATACAATAATTTTTGAACATACATACAAAATAGACCAAGAGAAGCTGAGAACGCAGGAACGTAGTCTGTGTAGACAATTGTCGCACATTATACAGATACTTTATACATTAGCCAACGTTGCTATCAAACCGGGTGCATCGACGGATTTTATGTTCAAGAATTTGCAACATCTGTACAACATGCTCAGCAATCTTACCAAATATTTCTACGCAAAATCCAACAAGCAGAACGCAGCGTTTCAATCGGTCAAGTAAGAAAAATCTTTGTAAAATATTGCATATTAGAATATCAATGTATTGAAACATTTATTTTTTGACGTTTTCTTTTTATGGAAAACTGTTCGGTTTGGCTTCTAGATTGATGCCACATCTTTTGTATATTTGTTTCTGATCAATTCATATTTTGTAGCACAAAGGTGTGGGCTTTCAAGAGAAGCTCACCTTCCACACCTCACATTATTATTATTGAGCAATTCACAATCCGCTTTGCATTTAATTTTTCTACAAATATTTCCTCTGTGTAATTTCAGATTTATTCAAGTGATCCAATCAGCCGGGAAACCATTGAAAACTGCGTTTTACAACTTAATAACGCACACTGAGGTATCTGTGTGACATATATTATTTTGAATTTTTCATACACACAAAGTAATGATTTTTTTTCTACAACTATGTAACGTATACGCAGGAAAATCAAAAAGCAAGGCCAAAAGCTGATTCACATGTACAGAGGAATAAGATTTTAAAGGAAACCAAGATCATACCAAGTGTAATATATGAGATTGAACAATTCTGCAAGGAGGTTCTGTTACTCGATAAGAAGACTGGCGTGAGTATTTTAAAAACAAGGGAGACTGGGATTATTAATTATGGAAAGTGGCCATTTATAATCTTCTTTAATTCATAACTCAAAAATTTGTGTTATTTGCAAAATGGAAAAGGACTTTTTTGTGTGACTATAAGTACATGAGTTGGCTTGTTTTGCGTTAGACATCCTGTATAATTAATTTATCCTCCCACACTTTTTCATATCCACAAAAGCTACCTGGGTCGCGGATATTTGACGTTCTAAAAAAATAAGTCGCGGTTGTTTGTACAGGAAACTCTGTACCGAGAGATAGATTTATAAAATATTAATTTAAAAAGAATAAAAGATGTATTAAATTTCTTAGATACCGCTTAAGACTTACATAAAGCACAGTATAACACGAGATTTCCGCATAAAGAACACGCAGTTATCGGAAGCGTTGGAGAAGATGGACATAAGTTTGGTAAGAATACAGATGGTTCTCTAGTCCGTAGTTGTTTCCTTAATTTTCGTATATTTAATATTCCAACAGCTGTATACGCAGAATTCTCGTCACCACAATGCAAGCACATCTAACGCAGACTTAAACGATGTGTCCGTGGAATCATCATCCACGGAATCAACGCCACTGAAACGACCTAAAATATCAGACACTTGACACTAGCTTACTACATAACCATTTCTGTAAGTCACAAATTTTGGTTTGCTCACTTCAACATAACAAGCCCTATGACTTTGTGCGTATCGTTCAATAAATTTTGTATACAGGACAGTACTTATGAATCTCACTGATAGTGTATGTAAAATTAGTGCATTTATTAAATATAAATATCCTATTACATTATCACATTAGTTATGAAAGTCATCGTTTTCACTCGTACTCTTCCCATGCAAATTATTTGCGATATATTACAAAATAATACACCTGTGACTTTTTGAGATTGTACTACAAACTATGCGACGAAATCCAGAGGCCTGTTGAATCCACCCTTCCTATTCATGTATTGCCTGTATTTCCTCTTCAAGATGACGTGAACAGCACCCACGTCGTTACCCTCGACTTTTTTCCCTTTAGTAGTGTCAAAATCGCAAAATCCCATTATCCTCATCATCTCCTGCTCCTCTGGCGTCTTGCCTTGAAGATCTGCTTCTGCAATATGAAAGATGATACTTCTATCAATGATACAACATCCTCTATTTTGATTATCGTTACTTCATATTATCATGTAGTATTATAATTAATTCATTGAATAATATCAATACTTATAATGTATTTTTAATGGATTGGTTAAACATTTAATACCTGTGATTATTGGCCGTTCATTTGTTGAAAGTTTCGGTTTATGTTTTGATCTATCGCGTTCTCTAGATCTGGATCTAGAATATGATCTCCTGTGCCTGTCTCGTTCGCGATCTCGTTCTCTGTCTCTCGACTTTACTCTGTCTCGTTCCGCGGACCTACAAAAAGATGCAAAGCTTCATTAACACGATGTGATGCAAATTATAATATCGAAACGGTAATTATTATAGTTTTCCTGAGGCACCTTCGTCTTCTCTCTCGCGATCGTCTCCTCCGTCGATCTCTATCGCGATCACGTTCCCGCGACCGGTCTTTTCGTCTTCCTGGCGACGGTGTACGACTTCGACCCATTCTGTGACATTATGTAAAACATGTTTGTATAAATCATAAAGAAAAATTAGGAGAAACAAGATTGGATGGAACTTCTATTGTCTTGCATATACATTTGCATATACATACGAAGAAATAATTAATATTCTTTAATTTTGGTCTCGAAAATATATATTCTAGTTTACATGCTGCCAAAGCCTAGTACTTGGTCAGAAAAAATTCACAGTTACCGAACGAACCCAGTCAAAGGAGCTCGTGTAACCAACGACCACCACCGATTTCCTCTCTCTCTCTCAGTATGTGGTTGCAAGTAAATGTTTAAGACGAAGTTTATATGAACTGACGAGATCAGGTTGAGTTACGTTACTGTAAATGTAAACCGTAAACTTTGCGTGTATTAATATTATGGTAATTTTTTATCTACTTGTAAATTCCCACTTCTCTGGATTGTCACTGGGAAGCCTTCTTCATCACAAAACATATAAACAATATCATAAAGTTAAAAATATCAGTAAATAATTGCGAAAAAGAGGTGGGTAAATATATCCGCGGTTCTAATGTTGAAATCAAAATTACGAGTACAACTGGTTGTATCACTGGGTCGATTAGCTTATCTGTATAAAAAAACCAAGAGATAAATTTCAATTAAACTTACATTTCAATTCTTTCACACGTCGATAACAAGCGCAAGTTGTGTGTGTACACAGTTTTCGACAGGTTGGAATCAGATAGCCTGCGGTTCTCCACCGTGCCTTCACCGGCATTCAAGCTGCGTTCTACTTTACTATCGCGATTATAGGCCAAATCTACAATATCCAATCATATTAGTCGATTTGCCGAATCGATGCCATCCGGCCTTGCAATCGTTCCGAACGTTTAAATGGAACGCACCCGATATCGATATTTAATTGACACGCCAATCACGCGATATCGTGTAATGCGAGTTCTCACCAAACGGTCGATTACGCGTTATCGCGTGATATTTAGAGTACATAAATCCTATGTACATAATAATAAAAGCATATAAATAATATATTAACTTATTTTGAGCACAATAAAAACTAAATAAAAAAAAATAAAAAAATACGAAATTCCAATTTTCAGCTTAGCAATGAACGTGTTAACATTTAATTAACATTATTTTTTTCCCGTATAAATGATCACATAGGAGTAACCACATATATTGTCAAAATTCACATAAGATTTTATATAATTATATATAATCACGATCTTTTTGTTTCTCATCTGTGTAAATTAATTATTATTATAAAATGTAATTTTCTATTTTTACCGTGGGTGATATACAATATGCACAGTCCAATCACAAGTCGCTGTTTCCTTAGAAATGTCTCTAGGCACACGGTACTGTGATTGGCTGTGTACAACTGCACCAAGTACTCCTTTTCTCATCCACGGGAATTACGGATGCACGAAATGAAAAAACATTATCGGCTGTACCAGAAAGTGCAGCGAAACAGCGAATCCAACATAGATAGCGTGTCAAACAGTCACGTGTGAAACGCCGGTATGGAGGAAAACGCTCTCTCCGGTACTGGCGGTATCGGAACGCGGTCCTTCGACGATCGCGACGATTTGTGAGCCGCGGGAAAACGATGAATGGTCTAATTTTATATTTGGGAAAACTACAATAGTTAATTATTTAGTATCGATATAGTAATTTTCTTCTCCATTAAAAATGAGCAATTTTTATTCTCCAATGAAATATATATCTCCCAATGCAAGGTAAAAGTCTGAAGGTACAGGTTACGCGTCTTTGATCTTGTCAACTAAAGTTTCGAGTGCAAATATATTTCCTGTTTACAGGGTTTTAACACCCAAACCGCAGGTGCAACAGCTTTTGGATCTAAGGCTGACGCAAAGCAAAGTTCGTAGCAGTATTACATGGTTTTTCGTTAATATGTTATTACTCAGTATTGTGCTGTACGATATGTAAGATTCAGTTTTCTTCCAAATGTGCAAGATAACAAGTGAAGTATGATTGTCATCCAGGTATTTCGTTTTCAGAATGTACGATGGACCTGTGTACAAGCCGATTCGCTGGCTGGAATGGTGCCTGGCGTCGATATTTACGATAAATGCTTTTTATCATATTATAAGATACATATGGGCTACCATGAAATTGCAGCCGATCACACTGAAGCCTAGGCAAAGGCGACTCTTGGGAGTCTCAGAGGACGAACCTCTGTTCAAGAATGAAGCGCCTCAGCAGCAGAAGTCCTTAGAGCTGAGTCCTTCGTTGAACATATCCTGTATAAATCTCAACAGACGTACAATACCCCTTGTATCTTCGGTCCTGAGTGAAATTAGTATGCAAAATGCTTGTTCTGATTCTTTAAATATTACACGTGGAGCGTATAGATATTTATTCTTTTTGTTATTAAGAGGATTACTCGACGTCGCCAGTTTTTAAGTACAACAGTCCTGTGTCTCCCAAATCAAATGTAAGCTCGAATGGATCACTTGGTAAATCTATGAGCGTTTCTCTGAACGGTAGCCTCACGAATGAAGATATTATTCAGGATGAGTGTGAGCTGGAGAATTATCTCGAGGGGGTCGACCAGCAGAGAAAGTTTATGCTGTCAACGAACGTTGATCAGCCTTCGAATCTCTTGAGCTCCTTCTGGTCTCATCCCGCTGTTCGAAGACCCGGCGAAGTGTCGCCGCTATTGAGAAGGTGTGCTTATCAACTTGCACCTACCATAGGTAAGCTGAATTTGATTGAATGTAGATAGCACGTTCTCGTGTTAATGTATGTATGATCATTCAGACAAAACAAAGACGACTAGCCCCGGCGCTGAAGAAGGAAGTTCTCCCAGGGGTACGTTTGGTGTGCTAAATGTATGGAGAAAATACAGGGTCGATCCGAAAAAAGTCAACGAGTGGACTGCCTTTCTTCGCATGGTGGGACACCTTGCGTTGCAAGATAGAAATTATAAGAGAGAGAGAGAGAGAGAGAGAGAGAGAGAGAGATTAGTATATGAAATGTAAAGAACAATCGTATATTTCAGTGGATCAGCAGGACGGTCGTGGAGCGTGTATCTTCGGAGATAGATAACATATGCGCGGCGTTGATACGTCACGGTTTGAGCGACTCGCAACCAGGCCACGTGGGGTTGGATAGGCTCAGGAAGCTCGCCCAAGCGCCGTTCTTGGTCTCTGCCATTCCCACTCTGCCGACGTTGGTCCCCTTCCTGGAGCTTTCCAATAATCAGGAGTATCTCGTGAAGCGAATAAAGATGCTCGCGAAGGGAGGCTGTATGAGTGAATTCAAATGGAACGGCGGAGGCTCTCACAACGGCAAGGAATGGGACTCCAGCTTGCCGACTGATTCCGCGGTAAGTAAATTGAAGAAAAGAAAGGAAAGGCAAACAACTAACCAATCGGAACTGTCAGTCTGTCTGGTTGCTCCTCTCCCTCGTCAAGTGAATGAAAATGTCACGGAAACCACAAAATACGCTGCTTCGAATTTCTCCACGCACCGTGAAAGCGTCGGATATAAAAAGTGTGGAAAGTCAAATGAAAAATGAATTGAGAAATATTGAAAGAGATATAAATATGCCGGCCAGAAAATTTCTTCGACTTTTTCGCAACAAAATGCGATTATTTTCAACCGATACTACGCGCATCCACAGATAATAATGCATTTGATCTCGACGTACATGGACACGCAATTGGAAGCACCGTTGGATCAACCGGACGCCAGACCATTCACCTCGAGATACATGGCGAGATCCGGGATGGAACTGCCGCGAAACAAGGGTCCAATAATAGTTTGTCAGTCGGTGAATCCGCCGCACTACAATCTCGCGCTGTCCGGTGATTCACTTCCGAGCGATTACGAAGAAGTACAACGAGTAATTTCATTATATATAATTTTATTGACCAACTTTAATTTCCAGCGTTTGTCATCTTGTGTTTCTATTTCCAGGGACGTAATAATCTGTTCCACACGCTTCTGCTCTTCTTGTACATAATCAAGACGCGAGATCACGGTATGCTGGGCCGGGTCAATGCCGGATCATCCGGCATCAACGTACTGTGGGTGATAGACGGCTGAAGGAAATCCTGTCCAAGAAGCGAAATGTGATGTGACATTCTAATAAAGTGCGATCGATGTCCTGAAGAACCGAGAAGTACCCTTGATGTGTGATATACCTTGACTGATCCTCCTGAACCTTTAAAACTAATATCGCTCGTTTGTCAAGCGAGAGAAAATATCTATAGGTAGATTTACACAAAAAGAAATGCGGGAACTGCGTTACGCAACGAATGGATGTCGTGAAATTTTTACTTGTATATTTGCGGCTATATACAAAGATTTTGGGGATTTATGACGATTACAAACTTTTCGGAAGAAAATTATCACATACAACTTTTTCCATACATGTATGAGATGCCGCTTTTTTCGAGACTGATGATTTATCGTATCATTATAGTTGTAAAATATATATATACTGTGTGCGTACCGCTTTTATTAAAATGAAAGGGGAAAAAAAAACATCACGGTACAGCTTCACAAGCTCGCAACTGTGCGACACACGGCAATCAGGGACATTCACGTATTCGAGATTATATCGCTGTATTACAACACCATTGAAATATGTTGATTGTTACCACAATGATATATCACTTCGCATATACTGTAAGATATTTCGTTCCTTATCCAATCACACACATACACACAGAAAGAGATGTGTCCTTCAGATATCATTGCCGTCACTGAGACGTATATCCGATGTAAAGAGAAAAGTAAAAAGTTCTCATCACACGAAGTTCTATAATTTATTGTATTATCTTTGGGTTATAATGCATTGTAAAATTACAAATGATTCGTTCCTCCGGCAAATGGAACCAATGTGTATGTACAATAAAGGTCGATACAATAATGTTTAACAGATTCAAATATTATATACCACCGATATATAAGATTAGAACGGAACTTTATTTATGCAACAGAATCTAAATGCGAAATCATACTTCCGCATGAATATTGTAACGAAGTTTGCATCTATACATTTAATTGTGATAGGTCACGTGGTAATTTTAAAAGCTTTTACACATAGCGAACGCTTCAATCATTACGATTACGAATAGCTTCCTTCCAAACTTACATTTGGGATTTTCTTAGAAATTTCTTGTCTATTATATATTGCTTCTTCCACCGGAAAAGGGTTGTTTAAACAATAGATGCTTTAAGCCTTAAGAAATTGACCAATCACAATCGAATTATAGGAGAATAATCAATTTCTTAATGCTTAAAATTCTATTGTAGACCTAGCCTTAGTCAGCATAGCTTATGATCCAATTGTCGGATACAAATTATACCTAGGATATCGATATCACAATATCGCTTAATATATACTCTTCGTGAGTGACAAGAATGAGTGGGTCACTTTTTTTCTTTTTGGAAAGAACGAAGTTGCGACGATTCTTTACAACGTCCGGATTCCGAGTTTTAAACTATTCATATTGTTACTCCGTGTTGTAAGTGACGGTATTATCTAGATTTATAAAAGAAAAGAAAAGGGGGGGAAAAGAACAATGTTAACGGATTCACGGTATACATCTCGGTAGATTCGCGCACGTACCTCGCACATGTCTGTAATAAAGAGAGAATAGAATAAAAATAGAAGAACGAAATTAATTGGAAATCGATCCGGTATATTATTTGTTATATTAAACTTTTTTTTAAGTATATAAGCTACTCACTTAATCGGTATGTCTTAAAGAAAAGCTATCTATATTACATGTACATTTATGACAAACATCTCATTCCTTTACCTTTATCTCTGTATTTCCATCCTCCTCCTCCGTCATCCCCACCTCTTCCTTCATCTATTCATTTAAAACGATTTATCAAAGACGTTCTTTCGTGCATCTCAAGTACACGTTATGGAAAGATACAATTCTGTACAGGTATCCCTTGCTCTGTCAGCGACGTCCGTCGGCGCATCATAGGTTTGAATCGCCACCGACGAATTGACGCAATACCGAAACTTCTGCATAAATTATGTATATATACGCCTTCACCGTTGCAAAAATAAAATTCGATATGAACGTTTCATACATAATCGAAATGATACTCTCCGAAATTCGTACACTTATCGCATTGTATTATTCGACAGTAATATCTAGCGGAGCACGACATCGAGACGACCTGAACTCTCTTTCTTTCCTTCTTCTCGTCGAGGAAGGAATTTCTTTCACTGATATTCGCGTCGATGCGAAGCGCCGGCTCTCTCTCTCCTTTCGGCGAGAATTGAGGTCAGGCAAACCTTCGACTCGTCCATCTTCGTCTCTCTCGCGTCGTGTTTTCGTTCTCCTCCCCGAGGAAGTTTCGCGCGTGTCCTCCGCGAGACGCCGGTCGGGATTACGTCGTCGTGAAGATCTTGGTGCCCTCCGGCAGTATCACCTCCTCGCCGACGTCGGCGAGGGTGACGGTGAGCGGCAGTATAAGCGGCATCAGTATCTCCTGATGCTGCACCATCTGATGCGTGCCGACCATCGTCGTGTCGACGACCGGTTGCCTCGCGATAGCGATCGTCTTGATGTTCTGTGCCTTCACCACCTGCGCCTGGCTCAGCGTCGTCATTCGGGTCTGCTGGAGCTGCGGGTGCACCTGCACCTGAACCGGCTGAGCCGTCTGCAGAATCTGCTGCTGCTGCTGCTGCTGCTCCTGCTGCTGCTGCTCTTGCTCCTGCTGTTGCTGCTGCTCCTGCTGCTGTGCCGCACGGTGCTGGCTCATCAGCAGATTCTGCTTGCAACGTTTGCTGTGGGCGTAGCGGCTGCCATTGTTGTTGAACTTGCGGTCGCAGGTCGGGCACTCGTACGGCCGCTGGCCGGTGTGGATGAACGTGTGCTCCTTGAGGGACTTGAGCCGGCGAAAGTTGCGCGGGCACAATTTGCAGTGGTACTTGGCCTCGCCGGTATGCGAGGTCAGGTGGTTCGAGAGGGTGTCGGCGCGGGCGAAGGCGCGCGAGCAGTACTGGCAGATGTACGGCCGCTCCTGCGTGTGCGTGCGCATGTGCATCTTCAGGTAGGCGTTGGTGGTGAACGGCCGTGAGCACACCTCGCACACGTACGGCTTGATGCCGTTGTGGGCGCGCAGGTGGGCTATCAGCGTGGTGGACTGGGTGAAGCTCTTGGAGCAGATCTCGCACAGGAACCTCTTGGTGGTGTCGCTCTCCTTGTTCTTCTTGAACATGCGGTCGTGCTTGGACAAGTGGTTGATCAGCTGCTCCTCCTTGATGAAGCGCTTGCTGCACCGGTGGCACTTGTACGGCTTCACCATGTTGTGCTTGGCCTGATGGAGCTTGAGGTGCTCCCGCCGGTAGAACTTCTTCGGGCAGATGTCGCAGAGGAACTTCTTGCCCTCGTGCACCTGGATGTGTCGCAGCAGGCCCTTCCGCGAGGAGTACTGCTTGTTGCACTCGGTGCACTCGAGGCCGACGATGTCGGTTCGCCTCTTGCGCGCCACCCTCTCCTTCTTCTCCTCGGCCGGCATCGGGTCCAGGTCCATCAGGTCCTCCTCGGTCAGGATGCCCTCGGTAACGTGGGTGGCCCGGTGGACGCGCAGTATTTCGTTGTTCTCGAACTGGTCGCCGCAGATGTTGCACTTCCTCACCTGGTCCGGGTTCTTCTCCGAGCACTTGTCGTAGTGCGCCTTTAGCTTGTCCTTGCGGTAGAACTTGACGTGGCAGATGTCGCACTCGAAGTTCGGCTCCTCGTGAAGCAGCTGGTGCCGCTGAAGCGACTTCTTCGTGCTGTACCGTTTCTTGCACGTGACGCACTCGTGACTGTCCATCGGCCAGTCCAGGCCGCTCTCGAAGTCCGAGTTGTCGTCGTCGTCCCCCCCGTCGGCCTTGATCGCCTTTTCCGCGGCGGTCTTCTCCTTCTTCTGTTTCTCGTTCTTCACGTGATGCTCCATGTGCTTCATCAGCGAATGCTTCGTGCTGTACTGCTTGTGGCAGGTGCCGCACTCGAGCTCCTTCTTACATTTCTTCGGCGGGCCGCGCTTGCGCTTGCCCAGCATGGCGTAGTACTCCCCGTCGTCGTTGTCGTCGTCGTCGAGACTCTCCAGATCGACCTCCGTCTTGATCTTGTCGATGATCTTTTGCGCCGCCTTGGCGGCGACGCGTTTGATGCGCTTGTTGGGATCGTACTCCTGGCCGTGCAGGAAGGTCTTGTGGCTCGTCGAGATCAGGTGGTTCCTCAGGGTGAACTCGTTGCCGAAGGTCTTGTTACACTGGGTGCACTTGTAAGCCTTGACGCGGCCGTGCTGCTCGGCGTGCCTGCGCATCTGGTCCTTGCGCGGAAACTGCTGGCCGCACACCTTGCAGCTGTAGCTGTGATTGTTGGTCCCGTAATGCGTCTCCATGTGCTTCAGCAGGCTCTTCTTGAAAACGTACATCGCCGAGCACTTGGGACACTTGTACTCCTTCCCGGCCTCCTCCTCGCCGCCCTCCTCCTCCTCGTCCTCGTTTTTACTCTCTTTCTGCACGATGTCCAAATTCATGTGCTTGGCGCGGTGCTTCCGCAGCTGCAGCAGGTTGTCGCACTCCTCCTCGCACACGTTACACTTCTGAGCGGTGTGCCGCACGGACACGTGCTTCTTCAGGCCCAGCTTCGTGCCAAACATCTGCGGGCACTTGTCGCACGCGAGCTTCGCCTCGTTGAGCTTCGCTCTCTCGTTCTTGTCGTCGTCGTCGTCGTCGTCGCCGGCGCCGCCACCGCTGCCGTCGTCCTCCTCCTCCTCCTCCACCTCCTCCTCCTCCTCGTCGTAGTCATCGTTGTATTTCCCGTCCGCCACCGTGTTCCTTCTCGTCCGTCTTCGGTACTTGCTGTCCGAATTGTCCAAGATCATACCGCGATCGTCCTCGACGAACGACACCTCGAGCGGCATCGACGAGTCCCCCCCCTCCTTCTCCTCCCGCTCGTGCTTCTTAATGTGCTTATCAAACGAGATTATGTACAGATACTCTTTACCGCAATAAGGGCACTTGTTAGCTTTCTTGCCGGACGGCGGTGTTTTCACCACGCTGCCGCTGATTATCACCTTCTGCGGCACCTTCTGCGGCTTCTCCGGCGTTTTCTTCAGACAGAGAGCGCGCCTGACCTCCTCGTGGGAGTGCATGTGCTCCTTCAGGACGTTCTTCGACAGGAACTGCTTGTCGCACAGGTAACACATAAAGAAGACCGCCCTGTCCGCCTGCTGCGCCCTCTTCAGCCGGGAACTGAGATTCAGGTTCTCAAAGTAATTCTCCTCGTCCGAGTTCCTCTCGGCGGCCCGACGAGCCAGTTTGCGTTTGCTCCTTCTCGTCTCGCTCTGCTGCTCCGTCGTCTCGTTCTTGATTCTCGACGGTTCTTCTCTTTGATCGGCCGATAATGTGGCATTCTCCGAATGTTCTGCCGGTTCAATCGGAGCGATCTCCTCCGTCCTTTCCTCGTCCGTACAGAATTCGGCCGTTGGATCTGGCTGCTGCAGGATGTAGTCGTGTTCATCCGCCGGAATCGCGTCCGCGCGGCTCCGAATGATAGACTCGTCCCTGTAAGCTTTGGGATCCACGGCTGCTTCGATGTCACTTGGGGTGTCCTTTTCGGCCAGTCCTTCCTGCAATACCTCGGCAATGCTCTCGCTAATTTCCTGCGTGATCCCCTGCGAACTACCCTCTTCTGGATCTGAAGGAAAATTCTGATATATTGCAGGATGTTTATATCGACGATGGAAGCATTATTATTGAAGCAACGTTCAATATAAAAACGACCAATGAGAAAGATAGATTTGTGAGATGCGGTAAATTTACCGAGCTACTTTCGACATATGTCGGTCGTCGCCCTGAATGACACTCAAAAGACTTTCACCTATTGAAAACGGTTATTGACAAAAAAGTTTCTTCTCTGATTATTATTCAAGTTTTGCATCATTAATATGCAAATATTTGTGCGATAAAGAGTCAACATGGTTATTATACACAGTAGTCGTTCTATACGATTCTTTCTTTTTTAATCTATCTTTCTAATATCACAATTCGGTATTTATTAAGACACCTGTGTTTCTTTCGTCATCTTGATTAATGACGTCAGAAGCGAGAAAACGATTGCCCAAAGTTCTTGTGGAATACGTTGGAATAAAAGTCCATAAGACGATACTTGTGATTGATTGAGCATATTTGTTAAGTATTATGAAGACTTTCCTTTTATCTTAACAATCAATACATAACGGTAAAATTAACGCGACAGAATAAGATAGGCTGAAAGGGAAATTTCATGTTATATTAATTTTTCGGTTATTTATTGATTATTAGAGTAAGAAACGTTTTCGGAACATTTAAAAAATGTGCTCTTAATTGATTACAAATATCATTTTATAGGCATAAAAACAAGAAAGAAGATAACTGCAGCGAGAGACTGCGTACAAAAGTCTTAATATTAAAATTATATTATTAAGAGCACTCCATAAATAATCAAGTATTTCAAAGTAAGACAGATTTAATAGTCTATCGATAAAGTTTTGATGTTTTGATCAATGATATAATGAAGTAGCATAAATAACACATTGAAAGGAAAAAAAATAGCACACTAAGGAGATATAAAGTTTTTATATATCACGCAGCCTGATCGTACGAATTCGAGGCCCGTGATCCTAGCTGTGCACAAGAATTTGAAATTTTTATTAACAAAGCCGTTATATGTTTATACTACCTATAAATTTTTCCACAGAGTTGAAATCATTATTATACGTTTATCGTTTACTAGCGAAGAAGTCAGTTTGCAGAAGTAAAAAATCCATTAGGAGGAAGAGTGTTTTGTTCTGTTAATAACGTCAATAAGCAGAAATGTATTGTTTGTGGAACATTGGCAAAAACCCCACGACTGAAAGTTCAAAGATGCATGATAAGGTTGAAATAAACGCGAACCAGATCTATATTGGTAAAGTTTATAATTCTGTGTGTTATTATTGTTTTTTTCATTAAATTAGAAACTGATATAAAATTCAATGGTATTGATATCTTTCAAGTTTAAAAAATGTATCTCACATGTCAATTTGAATTGAAAAATATTTGATTAATATATCTGTTTTTCTATAGCGATTAATATGATTTACTAATTAAAGAAAAAATATCTATTTCTGTAAAATTTACATACATATATCTTAGTGTTAGTCCCTTTTGAAGTTTTTCACCCTAGTTTATTGCATTGGATAAAGTCTGGGATAATAAAAAGCAGAATTTACCCGGAATTTTTTTCCACCTAGTGGAATTTTCTGACCAACCCTGCACACACAGCTCAAATAGACATCGAAAAGAACAAAAGTTTCACAAACACTTGATTACTTACTACTGTATCCATTAATAACTACAGCTTTTTATCCACAATACCGATTAATCATACTGATGGTTCGATTGTCTCCAACTCACTTTGCTGTATTTCCACTGGCTGTTCGTCTTGCAGGAGCAATTGGTCGTGTTTCAACAGGCTCTTGTCATCCTCCGATTGTCCTGGCGGCGGTACCGCGGTGGCGGATTCATAATCGGCACCATCACTTAACTCACCTATGGCATCATTTTTCTCATCATCCAAATGTATCTCGACCTCGTTGAAAAACATCTCCTCTTTTACGTTCATACCGAGGAACCTCTCTCTCAGAACACCGTCCGCCTGCTCCACTTGTAGCTTGAATTCATACGCAGACTCCAGCTTATCGGCACAGACATAACACAGTTGTGCTGGTAGTCCGTCGCCTGCTAACATCTGAACAAGACGGTACACTTTAGAAAGACATCTTATCTTTGTCCGGAAAAACAAACTTGACGTATGATGTCACCGCAAAGCGTAAGACCATTGTCTACTACTTATAACGGACGAGGAGAAGCGCAAAGGAGGAAAACGAAAGCAATGTCGGAGCACATCCTAACCTCGAAATTGGCTAACCTTAACATTGGCGAAGCTCATCGCCTTGGCCGAGAGGGACGCGTCCATGCTATCCTGGAAAAGGTCGCGCATCCCCGAGCTACCGAGCAAACACACGCGACATATGTCCTCACTCTGCTGCGGCGGAGCCTCCGACGTATCAATCTCCACAGCGTCCATGTTTTGTTTGGTGGACCGCGACTCGGAGCCACTTGGTGGATCACGAAGTTGGACTGTGATAACGCCAGACGAAGAGGCTGATCCCATAACACGGTGCTTTCATATGGAAAGCTGCGCGATTACGAATTCGTACTCCCTTCGCGATGCATTACGCTTCCACTCGCAAAAGTGACGTTACATGTATGACCGAGAGAGTACGTTCCGCACCAAGTCCCTATTCTTCAAATAGTAAGGCATAATGGAAAAAGAGAATAGGGGATTTTTACGGCTGTTAATGCCTGTTCGTTTCCCTAGAAATTAAATGTACGATAGGCATGACCGTCTGTTACCATCATACTTTATGACAAGCCAACACTTGTCGCCATGAGTTGAAACTCCTGCCGCTTCTTAGGATGGCTCTCACCGATTCCGGTCAAGTTAAACGACCAATTGCATAGGCTAAACTGATCAATACGATTGGTAGCTTAAGCGTCGGTGAAAGTCATCCTAAAGTCCAGTTTCGGAATCTCCGATTAACTTAATGCTGATTATTCCGTTCATTCAATAATCATTTGTCGTTAAACAGAGTTGGCTAGAAATAACCAATATTACCGCTGATAGTTAATCGATTTATCGTTATTTAAGTAATATTTCTGGAATATCAGTAGATGGTCCACCCCTAATAATATTTAAAAAATAATATTATTTAATGTTACTGTAATGTCATATATTTTTTAAATATTCAGCCCTACATATATATAATTGCAGTTTTTTATTTGAAATGCAATGCAATACCAATTGTTTTATTGCATAAATAAAGTCGAAATAATTTTACGTAAAAATACGTTTTATACTAAAAGAATTATATACTTATATATGTATATTTTATTTATATATATTTTGCTATATTATTATGTTATTTTTTTTAATATTCCAAAAACATTTTTATAATATGCCAAGAATGTTATTTTAATATTCAATAATATTTATATAATATTTTAGGAATATTACGCGCTTGTAGGGCGGTTAGATTAATCGGAAATTGTGAAACTGATCCTTCTCAGTAAACAATTATTAACAATTATTAACACAACGTGATAATGATATTTTACAATATGTAACGTTTTCAAATATGTAGTTCTTAATGTTGTACATAATGTCATTGTTAACAATATTTGACACAAACGTTAAAAATAATATTTATACAATATGATTTTAATATTTAGGAATATTGTATTATCAAGCAACAGTACAAGAACATTTGTAAAATATGTCAAAATTCTTATAAAATCCACGTGAAATCAAAGAATTGATTCATTGTTTCTTCCTTACTGAGTTAGTGATAAAAATTGGAAAACTAAGTATATCTTGACGAATTGTTTCTCCATTCGCTTATAATAACTTATCACCTTTTACTTAATAATAATTCATATATTTCAACAATCTCTTACAAGTAAGCTAACATGATGAACAATTTTAATTCGTATTTACCACTAATAAAGTGTTAATGGTTTTATAATATTAATAGTCATTCAATGATCGGCGACGTTGAGATATTTAAGTGTCCTACGAAATTAATCTTCCTCGCAATAGATGAAAGAGATATACGGTACTCATGAGGGGAGGAAAGGAAAGAAAAAGAAGAGAGGTCTGTGTTTCTTTCTCTCAACGAATTATTGTAAGATGATATTTATACTAAATTACAGCTTTTTTTATAATATTAAGCGATTCAGCGGAATATTATGTACACGAAATTCCACGAACAATCATATATATTTACACGGTCTCGTTTCTCTCACCGTCTCTTATTTTCAGTCGCACGTTCTTGACGTGTACGAGTTTAGGAAGATCAGTGGCAATTCTTTTTGCGGAAAGAGATGGTCTACGAAAATAAGCGATCGATGCACTAAATCCGGGACAAATCAGTACATACCCCGTACGATACAAATTAATTTACAATAAAAAAAAAATCTTTTTACAAGTGCTTCTTTTTATCTACAGCTCGCATTTTAGCCACGCATGCTCGTTTTAAGTATGCATCAAAGAGATTCTCTAGAACGTCATCAGGCTACGCAGGCCATGCAAACGTACAATGTATATATATTTGGTGTTATCCTTTGATTTTTAGTGTAATGTAAAACTAAATTACTCTGTTCCTTATTATTGTGTGTGTGTGTGTGTGTGTGTGTGTGTGTGTGTGTGTGTGTGTGTGTGTGTTATGATTTTTTCATGTTGAATCATCAGCGAAATTTATGAATTCGTCATCTTAAACTTCATCATCTTCAATACATTAAGATATATTTGTATGTGTTCTAAAAAATATATAATAAATCAGATGTATATTTCGAAATACCTAAATTTTTCTTTTCTTTCACATGATGTTTCTATGTAAGTATTAATGCAATCGCAAGTATATAATTATTTCTATACAGTGAGAAAACCTAAGGAACAAAGTAATCCGAGAGTTCCACGGATATTTACTAAAATATTCATCTGAAGTAGAATACTCGCGTTATGCTAATAAACTTTCGTTATAAATAACTAATCGAACATGGTGACTACAGCTTAACGCGCTTTACATGAACTTTATACCATGTATATCCCGAGGGTGATTCTATGTCTTGGAAAATCTTTAAAACAGAAATCTGCAGTGTGATTCGATATTGTTTGCCGTCTATCGCAATCTTTTTATCCGCTATTATTATTATTATTATTATTATTATTATTATTACACGTTACAAACATTATAAATTTCCAAACGGCGGCGGTCGATCGTAGAGTGAATCGGATTGGTGTATTATAATACTCGTTAAACGTTGAAAATGTACGCATTCTTCGTGGCCTGTGGGATGATTGCGTGTACAACTATAAAAATTGTTACANAAAAAAAAAAAAAAAAAAAAAAAACGTACATATGCAATGGTGGTCGGCGGATTATCCTCCTCTTTTTTGAAAGTATGTTATTATCGGTTAGGCTGACGATTGGCGGAGGTAATTTTCATATGGAAGAAAGTACTGGATATTATCGTCGATGCTCTCTCAGCATTACAATAAAACGCAACGCGATACTCCAGGATCGACATGGGCGGATTGGTTTAAGTGTACCACAACGTGCTCTCACATAATGTATAAATATAATAACAATTTCTCTCTCTCTATATATATACAATATTCCTTCCCAACAAAATACTAGTATCAAACTGGCTTTTGCAGTATAGTCGTTTATAAAGTATTCTCCGTGAACTTTCGTGAAGCGGCTATGTGTGTGATAATTCGTGAAAATTCGGCCCTTTTCGGGAACTCGTGCGAGAAATTAACACGTGACTCGACGATTTCGCTCAAATGCTGCTATTTTATTTCATCAGGTCACCAACCTCAAGAGGATATCCTTGAGTTGAAGAACTCATTTTCAGATCGTCCGAAATTCATATTTGAAAAGAACGATATTTGCATTAACATCGCATTCGCTACCAACATCACACGCTGTGACGCTCTCGATGAGTTTCATCACTTTTATATATGTTAACAATAATCGTTTCTCTATGTTTACATAAACAACACATGTTTTATATAATTACGTGAAGAAATACATCTTCGGGGAACGAATTTCCCAAACGAGTTCTGGCAGCGCAAATTTAAAGTGTTTACAAAGTTTCTTACAGCTTCGTAACGCCTTTACTTTAAATATAGATTTGAAAAGATCTGCAAAACAAGCCCCTCGATGGAAAGTTAATGTGTAAAAATTTCGAGGCTACGTCGAAACAATTCCGGAACGAATTCTTGCCGTACGTACATACACAATCGCGAGAACGTATCCCGCGCAGATGTTTTAGGCCAACTTGTACAAATTATATACACTCGCATATTCGTGTCTGTCGGCGTTTCTTTCTTTTCTTCAGCCCTCGCTCACAGAAGACAACGAGCTACGCGTAGACTCGGTCGTGTTATGTGTTAAGTCGGGGAGATCAGCCGGCAAGCACAACGGTACCGCGCTGGGCCCATAAATCGCCTCTTGCTCCTCCAATTGTAACGCGAACTGTTCCTCAAGTTTCTGCAATGCGAGGGGAAATATTAGAGAGCTTGTTCTTCTTGCATACCAAACAGAAATATAATGCGACGGTTTAGCATGGGAATAAATCAACAACATGATACTATTAATATCTAAAGGTAAATGTTTTCGGACAAAATTCTACAATATAGTTATAGGGAACAGAAGGGTGTATGTGCAAGTTATTCGCAAATGTGAATGCGTGCATACACGTGTAGTAATGAAATTAATGCTAATCAGTGTTTGCCAGTATCTTGATAAAATTATCTAAATAATCATTCAGATGAATAAATAAATTATCTTTATTTAGATGGAAGAAATATATTCATCCTAAGTAATAAAACCTTTTATCTCATCTAAAAGTTATCTGAAATGTATATATTCTGAACTCACTTTTCGATCAAATGAATGAAATAATATGGACACCTGTGCGTTAAGCCCGTATCAAATTAAGGATTGGAAATTAAATTTTAACAAATTTCGGCCTTGTCTCCTTTGGTCTGTTTTTTTTTTAGCTATACTGTTACAAAATATACTTGTCTCGCTCTAACTTATTGCACTAGTTCAGCAGTGCAACTAAAAAGAACAGACCAAAGTTTGTTTCAATTGATCAATCCACTTTAAGCCCGTATCAAACTGTGAACCTGATTGGCGATTACGACTGCCAACCCTTAATGGACCAAAAATTACAATAGAGATGATGCTTCACTATGATGGACCCTTCAAGAGTCGACAATTGTAACCGCCAGTCAAATCGGCTTTCTCAGTTAATAGTCTGATATGGGCTTTATAGAAAAAAATAATGACTACGTTCAGGAAGCGATTAGTGAGCAGTTAATGATTATTGGTTTTTTGCTAGACTTAAACTTAAAGTGATTATGTGGACAAATTACTTAACCGTTGTGCAATTTTATGTGTGATCTACGTCATTTTTATTTTAAATTTTTATAAAATCTCTCATGAAAACAATATCATTCAAAAATTTACCTGGATAAGTAACGCTACTTATCTTTAATCTAGACAAAAGCAAAATCATTTCATCTCATCTAAGATGATTTTTCGGATTTTCATCTTCATCTAGATGAATCTGAAATCATCTAGAGCAAACACTGATGCTAACCATAAAATCACGGCAAATATAAACATTTTGCATCACCCTAAACCTTCTTCGATGACACGAGAACATGTGTGCGGAGATAAACTAAAATAAAAAAGTCAACAATATTCTGAATATCTCATTGGTATCTTACAGAATATTTCTCTCTCTCTCTGTCTTTTTGTCGAATGCGCGTCTGACATGTATCGATTGACAATAACGTCTTACAAACAATATATTGTAAACTAACCTTGTGGCTATACTCTGTGCACAGCTTTGAAATCCAATTTGTGGAATCTCTTTATAAGTCTATTACATAAGGGTTTCTTTCGTGGAGGGTTACATTCGTAAGGACTATAATACGAACTAGTACGTGTGTGTGTGCTCGTGTATGTATGCTATTATTAAACAACCATAATACGGGACATTCTTTAAGGGAACCGTTCATTACACGTCCACTAATTGTAGCACATATAGCCCATGGTAACCACACACTTACCCTGTTATTTCCGTAAATCAACTGTTTAAGCTAGTAATTAAGCGACATAATTTACGACACGACGATTACATCGAAGTACGTGGATGAAACGCGTTTCGATGTTCTAACATATAAAATAAGTAAAGTACACATATTACAAATTACATTATTCATGACATTTCAGGCACGTTACACACCTCATTTTTTGTTCTCATAAATAATTTATCTACACTGATAATCTTAGCTTCTAACTCTGCATTAATATGCATTAGAAATCCATTCATCGCGTTCTCATCATTTACCGCTTGCTCTTTTTTTTACCAGATTCTTTTTCCAATTTGAAATTAGCGGAATAATGTGCAGTTAAATAAAAATGAGAGGTAAAATTGAGACATCAATTGATATATGTATATATCCACGCCAAAAAAATTTTATATATTATAGATCGATAAATAACGAAGATTGTATCTGTCTTAAATCTTGAGTAAGAGAAATGAACAAGTCTGCCGTTATGTTGCGTAATGTGATACTATTAACTGTACATGTCCCATGTTTAGATTTTGTCCAAATGCTACAACTATTTACTAATTTTCCACATTTGTTAACGACTCTCAGTGATGAATACGTAAAAAATATATATTATATTCCGTACGTATTGACATATATATTAGCGCGCGTGTGTATGTATATATATATATAAACTGAACCTAAAACTATTACGACTGAAGCACCACACAGAATAAGAGCAAAGCAAAGAAAGTTTTCATTAATTATATAATTGTGCATGATTAGAAGAGTGCTAGATAAGTAGGGAAGCGTTAAATATGTACAGTCGACGCTAAGTATGCCATACAATTTTTTAGAATCGGAAAGTTACATGATTTTCAGTCATAAAATATAAGATAGAAGATCATAACTAGAAATAAGTAACTCTAATTAATGGCAAGGTTGTAATGGCTCTAATTATAATAGTTTCAAACTTATGTATGAGAGACTAAAAATCGTGTAATGATAAAAAGTTTCAATGTAAGAATAGCGGAGCATACATGACCAACTGTACAGAAGATCCCATCAATGCGGTCCCATTCTTTCGGCATAATGACATCGAAAATTTCTAATCAGATTTTCGAATTATATCCGAATATTCGTGACTGTTAATTTCCTCATTTTGCCTCCAAGTTAGTGCTTTTATGGATTTGTTTTCGACGTTTCATCAACATTTCAGTTCGCTTCTACAGAGAAGAGGAATGACCCGAAGTTTCTCTCCCTAAAGAAGCGAACCGAAATGTTCACGGTCAGAAATGTTGGAAAATCCATAAAAAAAAAAAAAAAAAACGCTGGATTAATATCACATGCAGATGTTACGATGTACGTGTAGATAGAAGAAAAAAGATTTCAACGTCATATAACATCTTTTTTCTTTGAATAGCTGGACATCTAGACGTAATATTTTACAGGTTTGAAAAGTATATGTAACATATTACTTGTAAGGGTAACGCGTTATTCAATAAATGTAAGTGTATGTACGTACGTGTATGTACGATATCGGACTGAAGTTTCATNAAAAAAAAAAAAAAAAAAAAAAAAAAAAAAAAAAAAAAAAAAAAAAGTTCGCCCCTCTCCACATATACAATCCCATAATTACACATATATGCGTTTTAAACTAACTCTGAGGATACAACACACATTAATAAACACAAACGTATTAAGGCTCGGTTATCTCTCACAGCAACCAAATTGGTTTACGATTCGATAGTCGAGAAATGACATGCGGTAGTTTTTCTCTGGAAAAACGTAATAATTTCGTGCTTCTTAAATCTGTAAAACGCGCGGCAGACTGAGATGTCTGTCACGTAGAATCGCAAAATAATTCCCGAAACAACGGGTCATTTTTCAGCCATACTCAAGCGGCAGTAACAACCGTCGTTTTAAGAAATATTTTGCAATTCCATGTGACGTGTATCGGATTTCAATTCGTCGCACATTTTACAAGTTTTAGGATCCTGAAACTATCACAGGGTAAACTAAAAAATAGAGCTGTATACCACAAAGAACTTACTGCGTATCATTTTTGACATCCGGGATAACCGAGCCTTAACGGCACATTTAGATAGGTGATACTATCTACAGGAAAATGGCACTAAGCGAAATCCGGTTTGGAGCGACTGCGCGAAAGCATGCCGTTCGAAAAGCCTGAGGGATCCGAGCCGTTAATCCTCAGTGACACCCTGGGTATGGTGAAAGACGAAGGGGAGTTGGGAGTGGAGCGTGGTAAGCGTGGGGATTTCCTCCGTGAGCAATCGGAAATCACAGCGAATTGTGAGCACTCAAAATAGGGAAAAGAGAGACCACTAAGGCTAGAAGAAGAAGAAGAAGGGGGAGGCAAATAGTCTCGGTAGCGCGTTTCCAATGCTTCCTTTTCAGCCGCCAGATCAGCTTCTATTTTCTACAACAAGGCACAACATGAGGACTCATTTAAGTATGTCGCGACTCGACTCGGCTTTCTAATTTAAGTACTCGGATATCCACAGATTCTCCGCTGTCGAACTAATGTAACTTTTCTCTGATTCTTATACCGATCGACTCAATGATTTATTAATGATTAGTCGTGCAAAAGTAAAGTTCACAGCACAATACGATGCTGGATGCATAAAACGTACGATTCGTGGGAATTAAAGTTTCCTGTGGCACAGATTTTCCGCGTAAATCACAATCACTAATTAGAAACGTTTTCTGTTATACGAGACCTTGTAGAACGTAAAAAATCGGTAGAGTATGCAGCGATAACCAATCGTATCTTTCTATTCTTTTAGAATGCCCCACCAGAAATACTTAAACGTAGCGATTCATTGGCTACACGAATTAGTAATACGCTTCATGATATACATGTATGTATTTTCATAGATTGTATATTGTCTTCGTGAAGATGAATTCAAATCAGTTGTTATTATATATTGCTGTTCTTCACAGAAAAGTTTCGTTAAAAACCGATATCAAATTAAAAAAACCAATGGCTTTATATTTAATAATATGTAAAAATAAAATAGTACGTGAGCAAAAATATCATTGGATTTTTTTGACCGATAAAAAAAAAGCCAGCTAAAAGAACGGTTTATCTTTCATTCAAGAACCGTATGGAATAAAATTTTCGAACAATGTGGCACAAAGATGGGACAAGTTTGAAAACGATAATTTTGAAAGAAGGGGGGGGGGGTTATAATTTGGTACACTCGTGATGGGACGGCAGCCTCACGACACGACCGAACTGTTATTACAGCAGATGTGTAAGTGTCGAGAATTTCGAAAGTGGAAAGCATAACGCCGAGCTAACAGAGAGAATTACGAGGCGATTAGAGAGCATCAAAGATTTTCGCAGCCAAGAGAAACGTCAATGAGATAAAAAAATGTCCCGTAAAGTATTTACCTGCTTGCGGGGCTTCAGTTGCGCCTTCCACTCGCGGAGATCTTTACCATAGGCCTCCTCCTGCTCCTTCAGCTTCAGCGTCTCGTACTCCATCAGCATTTTCCTCTTTTCGTTCTGCAACTGCTCCAGCTCCTTGATCGTGGCGTCGCTCTGCGCCCTCACCTCCTCCAACTGTCTGGAATGCTTGAGCTCGAATCTCTGTTGCTCCGCCCGGTACCTCTTCTTCTCATTTTCCTGGAACTTCTTCAGCTTTTCGCGCTCGGCGTCGGGATCGAGCACGGACGACATCGAGATCCTCATCGACTCCCGGAACATCATCTCGCGCGCCTTCATCTCGTTGCGAATCCTCTTAGGCAGGTTCCGGCGCTCGGCCGTCTGCCGCTTGATCAGCTCCTCCTCCTTCCGCTGATTCATCCGCTTCATCTGCTCGAGCTCCTTCTCGTGCCGTATCAGCATCTGGTGGCGCTGCAGGAAGAATATGTCCTTGAGCTGCCTCTTGAGCAGCTGCTGCTTCTCGTGTATCTGCCGCTCCTCCTGCTCCCAGATGGCGGCCTCCCTCGCGCGCATCAGCTGCTGCTTCTGTTGCAGGAACTGCCGTTCCATCAGAGCGATCTTCTCGCGGTAGCCGTCCGAGAGCCTCCTCAGCGACATCTCGTGGCTCTCGTTCAGCTTCTCGAGGAAGAGCTTCTCCCTCTCCTCGTGCTCGGCCTCGAGCTTCTCCTTCCGTATCTTGAACGCGCTCTTCCTCTTGTCCTTCGGCATCAGGTCGATCTCTTGCTTGAGCAGCCGCAGCTCCTGCTTCAGGCCCTCGCGGAACTGCTTCAGCTCCCTCTCCTGCTCGCCGCGTATCTTCTTGGACGCGAGCCGCAGGTCGACCTCCTGTTGCGCCTCCGTACGTTCGATCTGCTGCCTCTGTTGCCTCACGAGCGCGTCCAGATCGGACTCGGTGCTGCGCTCCAGGATCTGCCGTTCCTGCTCGAACCGCTTCTCCTGCTGGTCCTTGTTGAACTGAGCCTTCTGGGAGAGGTCCTGGAACTGTTTCTGCTCCATTTTCTGCAGCATCTTCAGCTCCCGCAGCTCCTGCTTACGGAATATCTGATCGTCGTACACCTTGCCGTTCTCGTCGTCACCGTAGATCACCTTCGAGGTGGTAGTCGTCACCACGACGCCGTCGATCTCGAACTTCCTCGTGCGCTTCCGCGTCTTCTTCTTCAGATTCATCATCTGTATGTCCTCTTTCGTCCTGGCCGGCCTCGACGATACCTCGCGGCTGTAATCAGGCTTGCGCCGTAGAACGACTTCCTCGTCGACTTCGGTGTGCTGAGCCTGGCGATTTTCCTTGTTCGACTCCCTGCTATCCTGGCTGATCGTCGTGGAGATGGACTCGGCGTCGGAGCGGTCGATGCTCTTGCTCGGCGTGTGCGACCTTATAGAACTGGAGTCGCTCTGAGACCTGGAGCCCTCGAAGCTGTCCGGTGAGACCCGCTTCCCCTTCGGCTTAACCGTCTTCGCGACTTTCTCGTCAGTGGCGTGATGATCGTTCTTGATCAGGCCGTTCATCTTCTTCGTGCCTCTGTCGTACTCGTCCGCGGACTCGACGGTCGTATTGCCGGCTAGCATTTCGTCGCTGCTCGATCTTTCGTTGCGCTGCTTCTTGGAGATCGACGAGTCCTTCACCTGCTCCTTGTCCTCGCCGACCGTCACCACGGATACGTGACTGGTGTCCTGCGGCTCATCCACGATCGGGCTCACTATAACGACCTCCGATTCGTCCAGCTTTTTGCCGATTCTCTTGGACACGTCGGTGAATATGATGGGCTGTTCTTGCGGCGTATACTCCAAACTGTCCAGACTAGGAAATCCGTCGTCATCGGTGGAATTGTCGTTCACCTGGGTCTTGTTCATCTCGTTGGCGACTATGATGACCTCCGACGTCGGTGAAGTGCGCCGGGGAAGGGGAGTCGCCGCGTCCACCAACACAGGAGGATGCGTCGTTACAACTGTTATCTGACTGATATTACTTGCCAGACTGTTCGATAAGTCCGGCGAGTCGGCGGTAATGCGGACGGTCGATGTGTTTAAACGTATTTCCTGCTCGGGCTGACTTTTCCCTAAACATGTGAGCGAGGAAAAAGCAATCAAATCGAGTCTATAAGAGCCGACACAAGATACCGTTGTGATCACAATTCTTTCGGTAATTGTTAAAAAAGCTATCCGTTGTTATATTCATCAAAGGAACAGTGATTGAGCGATCAATCGGAATAAAAATCAAATTTAATAGTTAATGGAAATAATCGGTGTATATATATATATATATATATATATATATATATATATGTATATATTGTGACGATGCAAAATTGTTGCGTGTCACTCAGGCGGTGGCCTGACCGAGGGGGAGCCGGGGGCTCGCGCCTTCTTGCGGAGAGAGGGCGACCGAGTGCCGATTTTTGGTCCTGTGCGCCGTTAAAGCTTTGTCATTTGTTACTCTTAACACGTCTCGTCGAGATTATTTACCTCTCCCGGCTCCCCTCTGACGGAACGGCACATATCGGGGAAAGCGCGACTAAGAACTACGACGCTCTCCGGCGCGGAATCGCGCGATTCCGCAGATCGTTTACTTATTAAAATCTGAGCTAGCCAAGGCAAAGCCGCTGCCGCTTGCAAAAGCGAAGTGGACCGCGTCACGGACCACTGCTGTCGAAAGTCGGGCGTGCGTCGGTCACAATACATATATATATATGAAGGTTTAGATTAATTTTTTGCTAGCAGAGTTCAACGTCAAAAGTCACATAAACATATATAAAATAAAATCTGTTAAAAATTGAATCACTTAATTCAGTCAATTTTAACGAAATTGTTAATATATATAGTAAAAACATTATTTTTAGGCCGAATATTAGGAAATGTTACCTGTGATAACGACTATGTTATCCCCGCTACTTCTTCTCGAGCCGCTTCTGCTTCTAATCGGCGTCGACGTAATTACCGACACGTTAATTCCGGAATCCTGTTTCTCCGAGCTCTTATCGTCCGAGCTCACCGCGTCCTCTTGCTCCGTGCTCGACCACTTCCTGCTGTCCGATTTCGTGTGCAATTCGTCCGAGAAGCTTTCCAGGGAATCGTTCCTAGACGATCCGGCGCTGCGGCTCTTCGCAAGGCCCTCAGTCTTTGTTACACCGAACTGTGTTTTGATATCCTCCGTTGAGCTGGCCTTAACGCTGTTCTTCTCCGACAGAAACGTCGACGCGACGGATATGTGCTTCAACGTTTCCATCGAAGCGTTGCTCATTTTCTTCCCGGAATCCATGGACAATCGCTTCTCCAACACGGCGTTCAATTTCTCACCGACGGATTTCCGTTTCTCCTCCAAACTCTTGTAGTCCTTCTCTCGCGATTGCGGATCGTAATTCGTTATATCGTCAACGGATTGCAGTTTCTTTCCTGTTCTAAATTAAAATATTACAAATAGAATTTGCGACATTTTCAGGCGTTGAGTTCAGCTTTATATTTAATGTGCTGGTAATAAAATAGAAATGAAAAAAGGCAAGATAAAAAGAGATAAAGATCACTTACTCATTCTTATCTTGCAGAGACAGTTGTTTATTATATATTATCTTTGACAAGTCCTCGATCATCTCTGGTTTCACGGGTGCCGACTTGCGCTTTTCGTTTATACCTAATTGCTTCTTCGAGGAGGGACTCGCCGCTTTATTGTTCATCAATTTCTGTTGATTCTCAAATCGCTTGATGTTGTCGAAAAGTTTGCCTCTATCCTCGCTTTCCACTTTCTTTGCCTTTTCAGTCTTGTCCACCGATCCGTTTTGATCTTCCGCCTCCGAGTTCCTCCGCTCCTTGATGCTTATCGCTTGCTGATCCGCCAACTTCTCGTTCTGCGGCAATTTGTTAATCTGCTGCAGTTTATCCTCAGTATATTTTTGCTTGTCCGCAACATTCACGATATTGACCACCTTCTCGACGTCTTTCACACTGTTTTCTTTCTCCTCGTTTTTACTGTCTTGACGCATGAGCGGTGGCGGGGGCGCTGGCCCTTTATCTCGAGATAATCTACGCTCGCTCGTTTCGCCAGCCGGTGGCTTGGGTGCCTGCACAAATAACGCTGTTATATTTCCTCTCTTCTTCCTTCCCTTCTCGCTATTTTAATCCAAAGTATTAAGATATATCTTAAAACAATTACCGATCCTTCAATCATAAAAAGTCTCTCGGAAGAGAAGAATTTCATATTCTAAAATTATATTCTTTTATATCTTCAAATAGTTCGACCGAATCATTTGAAGATATATCAACTACAATGATTTTGCATACCTGTTTCTTCTCGACAGGTGGCTGTATGTTCTCTTTGGACTCAGTCTTACGTAATCTCTTATTCTTATCCTCTTTCTCGCCATCCCGATTGATTTCGCGTTTATGACTCTCCTCCTTCTTCACGGGTGATATCACGAGATTTTCCTTTTCGACGACTGAAACGGAGAATGTATATAATTAATCCTCTTAATTGCTTTAAATAGCAGTCTCTGTGATACTCACTCTTAACATCGGCATCAGTGCGCGTAGATGCGGAGTCATCTGCGATTTGATCCAGCTCCAGAGGAAGCTGAGATGTGCGCTGCTCCTGAAATACAAACACGCATGTTAACTCGATGGATGTGCGAGAAAAATGGTTCGATCCTCGTTACATGCTGCGAATGATATTAAGTGACCAGATACACACGGAGATAAACTAACACCAGAGATTACGACTGCAGTCTACAGCTTCAGTCACTCGAGTATGAAGAATACGAAAATAATTATACGAGAGAGGACCAATTATTGATCTAAAGAATGTAACAAAATAGAGCGTCGAAAGTGACTGGGTCACTCTCCGTCTCATGCTATAGATAACGTTTTTTCTCACATTGGCATACGCGCGCCTTAAAATTACGTGGCTCAATCAGGATTACTATTAATCCTGCCGTCGCATAACACGCAAGCTACTACTAACCTGGCACACATTGAGGCAATGAAGCTGGCGAGGGCCAGGAGGAGAACCGCATGCACAGCCAAAGTGATTACATTATCGCAAACACACTTATCATGATCATACGGTATTTTTTTTTTTTTTAAATAAATCAAATATTTTAATACAATATGAGACACTACCCTATATATTCTTAACCCTAGATAAGTAAAGCTGTTTTAAATCTGTTACTAATAACGACAGGCAAGTAGTCTACAACGGATGCTTTAAGCTCCGAAAAAATCACAGTCTAATATGAGAAGAACGATCGACTGTGATTGGTCAATTTCTTAAGAGCTTAAATTCTCATTGTAAACCCCACTTAATCTACACTTTTTAAATTTTCCAAATGAATACAACTTCCCTCAAAAAGCAAAGTGACAGCCGAGCCGCTCGATAATTCGTGTAATGTTTCACTTGTATAAAGCAAATTCTCCACTCTGAATCGTCGAGTGAATATTTTTGCTCAAATAATGTTTTACGTACTCCATTGTTAAGTAACTCCAATCGATCGGAATCACTCACTCTTATGGAGCCATAATCCATTTTAAGTTTGAGTGAAATATTCACTTTTACGATTTCAAGTGACTGTTTTGTCACTCGTTTTGAGTAAGATTTTACTATGAAAAACTTCGAGAACGTCAAGTTTTCAAAATTAAGTACCAAGTATTAAATTCGAACGAGCAAGTTTTACTCGTCATTACTGATCTAGGATTAATGAATCATTTCTGACGGTGGTTCGAAAACAAGGTTCTTAGCGGATCCGAATTTTAAGTGCATGCATCATCGTAATATTCAAATAGAGTGACATCATGCTGCACGAATACGAAACAGTCATCTCTCTCTCTCTCTCTCTCTCTCTCTCTCTCTCTCTCTCTCTCTCTCGTTCGAGGAAAAATTTATCCTTTTATCAGCAATCCTTTTCTTTCACTCCTTTGGAGACGAATATTACTAGTTCTAACTTCTCAATATGATAATTGTCTTGATAATCTATTCTCTCCCGATTTTTCTCTTTACAGATAGACAAAGCTAAACGAGACATTTATGCTTCATCTAGAAGCAGCTTACCGATTCGCTGATATTGTTCTCTGTGCTTTTTTGTTTTTTTCGCCTTCTATAAATGACGGAAGCATGTAACAGTGTGTATACATGTTAATTCTGCATCGTAAAGAAGCCGTATGTGTAGCTAATTTAAATGACGAAACGGATGTGTCTACCATGCTGTCGCGTTAAAGAAATGCAAACTGTCATTGCGCACTAGAATCGATTCCCTCGCAGGAAAATCAAGGTTTCGATTTATTATTTATGCTCTTTTAATTATCATCTACTATTGTAATAATTAAGGCAAAAGGAAAGACGGTATTAAAATTATTCTTTGTGTGAAGCGCTCTGTGTTAAATTGTAATTCGAGAAGAACCATGCAAAGAATATTCAGCGGCTGCATAAATGTTTGTCGTCCAAGAGTATATGTTCACACACGTTATTTAATATATTCCAAGTTGAATCGAAAACCGACTCTCAGACTAGTTGCACCGCTTGTATCGCATGGTTCGCATAATTAACATGTACATAAAAAATATGAGAATGAAGGAATAAGGTTGAGAAAGAAAGTAAAACCTACCTCCGCCTCCTCGTCCACCAATTCCTCTTCAACAACGTCCGCTTTATATTCAAGCAACAAGTCCCTGACAGGTTTTGGATCTAAATTCCGGCTTATGAACGGATGTTTTAACAAATCGTCAGCTGTAGGTCGCGAGCTCGGGTCCTTTATAAGTGCTTTAGCTATAAAATCATTAAATTCCTTACTCCATTTTCCCGGCTGATCCAGTTTCGGAGGATCGCTTTTCTGTATTTTAAGTAGCACTCGCATCGGCGACATTTCGTGGTTCGGTGGCTCCATTTGCGCAAACTCTATCAGAGTTATACCAAGAGACCAAATATCCACCTGAAAAACGATCGCGTCTACGTAAAGCTCTGGGTTATACGTGTAAAAAATCAGCCTAACTTCCAACATCGTTCTCCGATTCTCATCGATGCGATGGCATGGCCTACCTTAAAGTCGTAAGGATTGTCTCGGAATGTTTCGCACAAGACAACCTCGGGTGCCATCCAATAGGGAGTGCCGATAAATGTATCATGCTTCTGCAGAGTGTGCTTGTTCTTTGCGGATACTCCGAAATCAGCTACAAAACAATTGTAATCAATTATGATCTGTACGATTATATTATGAATACATAATTATGACAATAGAAAGATATTTACAATAGTTAAGGAGGTGGTCGTTATATACGTCGCGAAAACTGTAGTTGGAAATGGAATTTTTACCTATTTTAACACCACCCGCCATGGTCAGCAGAACATTTCCCGCCTTCAAATCCCTGTGTATGACTTTGGACTTGTGCAGAAAGGCGAGGCCCTTCGTCATATGCTGACAGATGTACGCGATCTGCATTTCGGTCAGCGCTTTTTCCAGCTCGACCATTATGGAGTCCACAGCACCACCGTCGCAATACTCGATCAACATCTGTGCGAATATTTTCAATTTTAAGGTAATCGATTAACAGAATTGATCATAAACAAAACATACTGCGAAAATAATACAACATACCCACAATTTTCCTTCGATAAAATACGCCTCGTGCAACTCGACGATATTCGGATGCTTGCATTCCGACAAGATATCTATCTCAATCATAAAGTCGCTCAGGTCATCTTCTCCCTCTAAGGCACACATTTTGGCCGCGGCAAGTTGATTGGACTGTTTGTGCTGTGCCTGCAGTGAATAGTAAAGTCGTTACGATCAAAGCATACTTGATAAAACGAGAGAGAGAGGTCTCCTCACGTTACCTTGTAAACTTTGCCGAACGCACCATCTCCCAATTCACCCACCATCTCCCAAAACTCCTCCGGACTGCAGTCCATCTTAATGTTGTTGTACAATTTCTTCTTCTTCGCGTCATTGCCACCGAAGTGGAAGGCCTTCTTCAAATTCGATAAGAACGACATTCTGGCGGTTGTAATATTCACACTTAAACCAGGCTATTATTGCATATGAACACACTGAGAACACCGATATAACTGTCTAAAGCGCAGCGATTATAATAACTAACAATTGCGTATTAAACCTATGGTAAAATATAAACTTCACTCTCGATGAGAACTTGCAAAGGACTCAGTAACTGTTATCGTGCAGCACTCGGTAACGTGTTTCAAGCGATGTGTTCCCGCTCTCATCACTTTCGTTCACATTATCCCGATGTTTTTTTAGATCCCTGCTGGACACCAGGGGATCATGCCGCATCTCTCCCGCATCTTTGTGAATTTCAAGTCACAGTTATCGTCGTATCCGAGCTGCAGCAGATGCAAGTGAGAAAAGCGCGATCCATAGCTGATAATCTCCAACGATTGAATACTAAGGGAATACTGAATGAATGATCTGGAACAGAAGAATACAATTCGTTGGACAATCGTTCCTCCGATCAGCAGCGTGATCCTTTCGAATAAATTTATCGTGCCCCTTAAATTACACTTTAATTTACTGAAGAATGAAGAGTCAAAGGATTCTATTCGGTATACAATATATGGCAATAATGTTTCATATTTTTCACGTTTGCCTCCACAAGTCTAACGGCGGCATGAATGATATGAAAAACCCATCGATGGAGAAAACCAAGTCAGCAGAGCTACATTCTATCAGACCAGGCCTCCATCTTTACTTTGGTTAAGAACTAGAAACGTTTCTAACAACCGTGCGTGTAACATTCTTCTTCGGAGATAACACATACACAAATATACACCGGTTGTAATTTACGACAGATAAAGCAGCAGTTTGAAAAAAGTTGCTATCAGATATCACCGATAGCACGAGAAAAGTCAGTGATCGAGTGTGAACGTACAAAAGAATATATAATAAATCTTTCGAAGGAGACTGATAACACATTGAAGAAGAGAGAGGTCGTCAAAAATCAATTACGATTGGTCAATTTCTTAAATTCTCACTGTAGACCGCGCTTTACACTCGCACGACGAGAAGAGAAGCAGCAGCGTTGAAATACGTGCCGAGTATTTCCTTGCACTCGTAAAAGCATTTCGAATGGGGCATTACGGAACACGTCTGGTCGCCGCAACGGGGAGAAAATTTAATTAGGTCATGCTACGAGGGAAAAAGCGGAAATTCGTTTACACTCGCGAGCGAGCGCTTCGATGATCTTTTTTAGCACGGCGGAACGGCGAGCTGTCGCTCGCGATCGATCGAGCCCCCGTCGGCGTTTGCATCTCGCGATAAAGCGATTATGCGGCGAACGGAAACACGGCGGCGGCATAACGGACGATAAGAGCTCGCGAACGGATGAGACACGCGCAGCGAGAGTGAAAGAAAGGAGAACAGGTGTTGACTTCGGTCACGCGGTTTGACACTATTTTGACAAGCGACCTTAGTTTACGGAGTCATCAGAGCGAAGTTCACTAAGCTCAAGTTTAGCTAAGCGGAGTCTACAGTGAGAATTTAAGAAATTGACCAATCGTAATTGATTTTTCTTGTATAATTCGACTGTGATTGTCCATTTCTTACGCCTTAAATTCTCACTGTAGACCCCGCTTGTGAGAGTGTTGCTCGAACGGATCTTCCAAAAAGTACTCGCGCGGCCGCCTGTTCGCGAGGAAAAGCGGTCAGCTCTGACTACGTGAACACGCCCGAAGAGATCGTACGGGGGGGGGCCGTTGATGTGCGACGACCGAGAGACGATCGTTGACAACGTCCTCGTCGTATTAACACTCGAGAGGTCGCGACACGTATGTGCACGCGACATATCTCGGTGTCTGTCACCTACGGGCGGACGTCTTTTCGGCTGCTCCGCAAGTTCCTGGGATTCTTCTTCCCTTGCCCCGCGATTGGAAGCACGAAGTGTAGACTCGGGGAAAGTGCAGAAAGTACAGTCTCCCTCGGTGTAGAAAAGTGGGTGCAGTTATACGCACCGCTTAAAGCGGAATCTACAATGAGAATTTAAGGCGTAAGACTTAAGAACCATTGACCAATCATGGTCGAATTATACAAGGAATGTCAATTATGATTGGTTAATTATTTAAATCTAACACCTTAAATTCTCATTGTAGGCCCCGCTTTAGGCCCATTATGGTTTAAATCTAAACGACGATTAATTTAACATAATCGACCAATCGCATCGGCCGTAATTAGCTAAACCGATCGATCAGTCAGTCCCATTGAATTAATCGTCGATTAAATTTAAACCATGATGACAGAAATGGACATCAGTCCGTGACTACACGGCAATGTTAATCTGGTTCAACCGTCGTCAGTGAATCCTCGCGTCTGATTGGTACGTCCTTTCGGATCTAAGGAATTAAATGCGAGAGTTCGCCAGCTACGGTGCTGAATCAGATTAACGTTGACGTGTAAACAAAGACGGGCATCGTCCGTGCAGATCACGCGACACTGACGAGTAACGTCGGCGAGAGAGAGAAAGCACAGTACTTCGCGAGAAGACGAACGAGAAGTTGCTTACCTGCTCCGCACGACACTCGTCGACGCGTCGTGCTGGCTGAGCTCCTAGGCACCGCTGCCTCTCCCCCCACCCTCGCTGGGAGATTGTAGCCGCTATCGGGCTGACGAGATGCGTCTCGTCGTGCTGGGTTTCTCACTAGGCACTGTTCGCACGCGCGTGAGCGAGCGGTCGATCGTGCACCGGGACTATCCGAGAACTATCTCCTGCGACGAGGATCGGTAAACTCGGCGGACCTCTGCACGTACACGGCCATTTTCAGCTCACCGCTCACCACCATCGCGAGCCGTCGCACACACACACACACACAAATCGTTTCGTTACGCCTGGAAGTGACGTACCACCAGTGCCGTAGCTTGGACCCAGGAGAAATCTCACCCCGGACGTGGCAGACCACCATTTTGTCGTTCGCATCCGGACGATGCGCCCTGTGGATACGTTCGGTTGCGCACTCGTTGAGTAAAGCCGTATCAGATTATGGATTGGGGGATTGAGACTGAACTTGGCCAATCAATACAAAGTTAATGAATTCAAGCTTAGTGAAATTTAATGAACTTTGCATTGATTGGTTAGCTAAATTCAAGCTTAGTGAAATTTAATGAACTTTGCATTGATTGGTCAAATTTCAATCTCTAATCCGTATAAGGCCTGTTCTACAATACGCCGGAGTAGGAACGCAGCCAATAAGATAATTTATTTTTTCGAAAGTGAGTCTTCCTCATTGAACGATCGACTGCGTTTTGGCAGCGACATATTATAGAACAAGCCTAAAACCAATCGAATTATAGAAGAATAATCAATTGTGATTGGTCAATTTCTTAAAGCTTAAAATACTTATTGTAGATCGACGCTAAATGAGAGGATCCACGGCCATTGACAAATCACTTCGATGTGGGGAAAATATTCCGTTTGTCAATAGATTGACAGAAAATTTGATCAAATTTTAATATTACTGCATAGTGTTGACATTGGTGTTACAACAGTGTTATTTGCGACAACGGATATGGGTTAGTACAACTACAATGAACCATTCAACTATGAAGTATTTAAGAAATCATATATCGGTTAATAACCGTTTTTTATTTTAAATATTGTAGCATCATTGTCGATTATTCTGCGTCGGATAAACGCTATGATAAGGAGATTCAAATTTGAAGAATTGGAACGCGACGTGATGCCCATCTTCCCAGAGATAGCATGGAGTCGTGTCAAATCAAAATTAGTCAAGAATCACAAAAATTTCACAATTACCAACGCCGTGCGTATTATAGGCGAAGCTATCAATGTAAGAATCACCTTAACGCATACAATGTTTATGTAAATTTTACACTATTGTAATAATATATTTATATTTGATTTGTGTAATGTCTATAGAATACAGATTTTACAGAGAAAGATTTGTGTGACAGGTTGGCTACACTAGAAATAACAGGTAAGATGATAATTACATTACTTATTAGACGCATTTGTGATTTATTCTGATTGTTAATTTCTTTATTTACAAATATATAATGTTTTAGATATAAGCAAACATAGTAAGAGAAGAATATGGTATAGTTACGAATTGACAAATCTGGATAAAGAAGTGAATTATATTGGGAAACGAGAATTTGAAAAAAGCCTCACAGATGAGTTTTACAACAATGGTATTGAAGTAAATGTAAAAATTTTAAAATATAACGACATCACATTTGTATGTATCAAAGAAAAGAAGAAAAAAAGGAGACAGGCTACATTGGTCACGCCATTCTTTTTTGCTTTATTCACGGGACACAAATATTTCTTCTGTTCAAAGAAAAAGATTTCAAGCGATTTTATAATAGCGATAGCTAATACCTTGGGCTACAAGAAAAGCAAGAGGATCAAGCTTGCGGGTCGAGATGTCAGATCATTGATGAGAATGTTAAGAATGAAGCAACAGGGTGTATTACATGCCGCAAACTTAAACATACTATCGATGCACGAAGCGTCTGACCCTATTATCAAGTGAGTATTCGTCGAAATTATATTTTCCCAACATATTGATTGAATTTTATATTCTCATTTACACATTATTATAGAGATATATTGTAACACATGCAATATGCCATTAATTAGATGAGTTTTATTGCAGAGATGCCGGAATAGATTATACACAAACGAAACAACGGGCAAATTATGCGAAACAGTGCTTTAGTGAGGATCCTCCAATTTTGGAGTCACTGGTTATACACGGGCCGCAGGAATCCATACAGCACAGCGACTTGGCCTCGATATTACCTTCCGACATTATACGAATGAAGTAAGAAGTATACGATTGCAAATACAGTCGTAAGATTTATAAGATTTTTTACACGCCGTCACTCATTTTTATTTCCTTATTTTAGCTGGGAATTTTCTAGCCACAATGTAGCCAGATTCTTGACCAGTTTGATAGAGAAACGTGTATTCCTATTGCCATTACCCCAGTATGTAGCTAATTTCATGACGCTGGGGAAGAATGAACTGATACTCCGAAGTGCTTGACACGCTTGGCGACGAGTGTTGATATATTTGTGAAAAGAAAAATAATCGTTCGTCAGCATATATGATGTTTGCTGTTTACACGGGAAATAATTTACAGTAACAGTTGCGATATATGAATGAGAGGCCTTTTAAGACCTAATGTAAAAAGAAAAAGTTGTGATGATTGCGGCCGAATGACCGTAAGATATTAATTTCATAAATGGGACGCGTGTGTTATCAGAAAATCGCTAAATTTTATTCTAATTACTAATTTCATACAGAAGAGGTGTTAAGATTACACACAAGCTGTATCTTGAGCGGAATGTGATAAATTGAAACCTATGTAAGCTATATGATGCTTTAATGTAACAATGAAAAAGTTTATATACTAAGACGTGAGATCCAAAAGATATTGTGTTAATTTTTTTATTACACACATCTTACATTATTACATAGAAATACTATTAAAGCTTCTATCACACATTAATAAAAGTACGTTTCTCAAAATTTTATTCAAGTTTATATTGAGTAGTATATATACCAGATTTATACATATTATATCTATGCTATACACACCGTTGATCTTTTTATAATGATCGTTCGGTGTGCACGAAATATACTCGGGTGAATCATAATGATGATTTTGTTAGATAATCGTTATATCTTTACGGTAGGTTAGATATTTTATCCGTAACATTGCGTGTTACATCGACATCCCTCTCGTTCAACTAGACGCGTCCACTTCTTCGTCGGACGTCACATCAGGATCATTGGCTTGCGACTGGCACTTGTCGCAACGACAAATAAACAGATACAAGGAACTCAATGCTTTCTGCCTGGAATACCTGCTTCTCTCGAGCTCACATTCTTCGAGGTAACTTGTGCAAATCTCCTCCTCGGCTTGTATATCTCGTGTCGCTCTCAACACTAACGTGTTGTTCGAATAAGGAAACTCGACGCTTGCGTTCGGTACACAACTGTGATTCACCGCCGATTGCAGAATATAGAGACCGGACCCTTCGTTATTCAAAAACGAGCCTACCACTGTGCGATAAGAAGACTATTAGCTTGTACCAAGATGAGAATGAACTCACGCAACGAGAACAATTACCTTCCTCCATCTCATCGTAAATTCGATCTATCAATTTGTCGATGTAAATTCTTTGGTCCTTGTGCAGATCTAAAGCAGAAACGTTTCTCACCCAACGACTGAAAGCGCTCGTGCCAATCCCTTGTGCGTTCGTTCCTACCAAAGCTAACAAACTTCTAAATCCATCTGGTGTGAACCACTAGAGGACCACCATTTTAATCAATATTGTGTATACATTACTACTTACATACTATTATATTAATATAATGTGTAGGTAAAAGTATATTTTACATACATACATGCGCAGTATACTCAAGATTAAGAGCCTTCTCCATCATTCCCCGAAGAACATCGATCTGTCCCACAAATTTTTCTCCCAACAAATTGTGCGCGATTTCGTGCGTGTCGTTCACAGTACGGTGACAAAATTGAGAGAACATCGAGTAGACGTGCTGCTTGTCGTTTGCCTGGTTAACCATGGCCACCATCCTCGCTAGTAACATGATCGTTGCGGTTTCCGGTGGATAATGCATTTGTTTCCACGTTTCATTTAATTGGGTCAGAGGATGATTCTCGTCTTTAACTCTCGATTGCAGGCATAACGTACTGTGATATCTGAAATATACATGTGATATGATACGTGTCCTTAAAAGATCCTGAAAAAGTTTCAACCTTCTGTATGTATGAAACCTTTTCAGGTAAAAGTCACTTTGCAAGAATTAATTAATTTTGACGAGTTAATAATTGCACGGGAAACTGTATAAAAAAAAAATGGCAGCAGAGAAAGCAATTATTGTGAATATTTGTGAATTAATTTTGGTCGAATCTAAGGGCATACATCAATCAGATTTACAAATACATATTTTACAACAGTTGCTTTCTCTGCTGAACATAAGCAATGAATGAAATTAACTAATAGCGAGAGGCATATTTCTTTTCGGTGCCTGTCACATGCTGTTGTTATTCCGTCTCTAGAAATTAATTAAGAACAATTTCATCTATGTATAGTAAAATATTGATTTTGTTTTCTTTATACAAAATCCAGCCTACTGTTTATTTCCATTATGTGATCATTAGCTCATATAGATTAATTTCTCACTAACTATTGCAAATTTTGCAAAATGGCACATGACTTTTCTGTCTAATGTCACCGCTATAGAAAAAAGTTTCAGACACTCTGTATGTAAACATTGTAGTCACCTTTGAAACGCTTCATTCTGACATTCCACGCTGCAATATTTGACTCCGCACGTGGGACACTCGGTCGTCAGATTTTTATTTGTTTCGCAGCACTCACTGTGAGGCAGAACGATGTTTGAATTCCCTGCTAGCCTCTGAGCATTCTCCTCGGCAGTTTCCAACGGTCTCAAGCAATGATCACAGGCCAGGTATCCGTAATCGGAGTTCCATGAAAACTGACAAGATACCACAGGCTTCTCCTCTAATATGACATCTCCTTCCTTGTACGCACGTTTGGAGAACAGTCCTTTGCCCTGCAACATAAGGAATGCGACATTTCAGATCGAGTTAACGTGAAGTGTCAATCGAGAGCAATCGATCTGTGGATGGAAAAATTAAGTCATGGGGATAGCATAGTGGAAATAATAAACGTTACCTTCTCGTTGTTTACCATCTTGACGAAAAAGTCTTTGCCCTCCATAATCGCGTCCAAGATTGTATCGGCGAGAGAGGTGATCAACAAGAAGGACCCACCTGGACTCGTGTTCAAATTCTAACCCTCGAACACATGTCGATAGCCATGAAGGCTCGTCACGAATACACCGCCGAGTTCAAAACACAACCGCCGGAGAATCTCACGGAGTTTCCCGACGACGAGCGGGTGATAAATCTCCAGGTGAGTGTAAAATTTTTTCAAATGTATAATCAAACACATCTGTTTTTAATGCAATCGCCGATGCGCACCGTTTGTACCGGTGATCGATAAATATTGCAGTTTCCGACACGCACTCTGATTCGAGGAACGTCGTAGCGTGCTTCTCCCACTTCCTCTCGCAGAGAGGTGCAGAGTTTCGAGATCAACTGTGTGTGTGTGTGTGTCTTTCTGGTGGTTCGCTGAGGATTCTCCGACTAGATTCTTGGACACGCTCGCCGGAGAAACGATGAACGGGACGATGGCGATGGTGAGCGCTTTTTCTTCACGTCGGTCACGATGAGTATCTCCCCACCGCTGCATCGTCGCGGTTAACCGTTCGCAGCATGATGGCGGTTGTAAAATCTCGCGGCCTAGCCCATCGTGACGATCGGCGAACCAAATCACGTTGCATATTCGTCGAGAAACGTAATGTGTCTGAAGAAGGAGAGAGCGTCGATCTCGCCAGAGGCGAGCCGATATATTGATCCTTTTCTTTTTACACGTTAGATATAATTATATTTTTAGCAACTTTCGAGTGATTTTACTTCCGACTAATGCAACTAACGCCACGTTTACCTCTTGATTTCTCTCTTTACTTTTTTCTCAACACCGAGCTCTTACTGGGTTTCTCTTTCTCTCGCAGATACCGACGTCACAGAACAATACGGAACCGCCGAACAAGAAGGCCAAGCTGGAAGGTAAATTGCTAACTCAGCTGAATAGCTGCTATACCTGTAATCACTAAAATATTGTTGTGCGTAATTGTGTTAGAATGGGAAACGCAATGAACACAGTGAAGCAACAGCAAGTGTATATATACATACGTATACATATATATATATATATATTTATATATATATATTAAAAGCAAGAACACATGACGAGGAAATGCAATATAGCTACTTAGGACACTCAGGTGCTAGTTTTCTCTTAAATGCTGCCAGAAACTCTATAAAACTGCAGAATGGTTTCAGAGTTCTCAGAAGCAGTTTGAGCATAAAAGAATTTTGGGTAGGCTAGGGTAAAAATTAGATGATTGTTGTTGGCGCTAAATCACACTAATGTATGGTTGTCCTTCTGTTCTGAGATGTTACAGCGGAGAGACGGTACAGAATCCGTGGCCTACGACTGAGCTGTGATCATGAGCGTGCGCCAAACAAAGAAAGAGAGATCTCTACATTCAGTTGAACAGAACAAATCAGAGTTATTGCAAACTCCTACCGATATCTGCATCTATTGTCGAGTACCAAATACGATGCATACTTTAGATAGGTCAGCATTTTAGGGTAGCTTCTCTGGTCCCGATTACGAGCCTCTCCCTTCTGTGCTTTAGCCTTTTTCATCTCACGATGGGCAGAGAAAACTAAATTTTCACCTTGATCTTTCTGATTCTTAATATTTCCTTTGTGAAACCCAGTATAATATAATATGCATTATAATACTGCATTATAATATGCAGTATAACATTATGCATTAATCGAGAGACACTACTGCACCGAATATATGCGATGTTTGTTCCGCTGAATTATCACTGTCGGCGCAGTGATAAACTAATCATGAAACAGCTCCAGAGGCTCATAATCGACAGTGGCAATGGCGAAGGGTGTGTACGTTAAAGTTGCCGTTTAAGAGAGAGAGAGAGAGAGAGAGAATCCATCTATTTTTGCACTTGCGTCTCAGATGTTAACGAACGAAAGTTTCCAGCACTTGGACGTCGATATAGCTATATCGATGTCGAGCTTAACGATATATACGACGACGTTTGTTCTTCCTTCGTTTCACATCCACTCCCCGCTACCCCGTTATTTTGCTCCATCATCACTACTAGAAGGGATGATCACTCTTTTCGCGCGCTGTTTTCGAAGCACGTTATAACGATGTCCGAGTGTGTGAGTGTGCACGTATAGGTGATACAAAGAATTGAGAAATTGTGACCTGAAATTACATATCTTTGGATATCGATATCTCGGAAAGGGGCAGGGGAGGAGGGAGGGGGCGAGATTTCTCCTCGTTATCCGGTTCGTCATGATTATTGCGATGAGAGCGAAAAGAAATTGCACGCGCGCCGGTTGATTACGATCTCGCCATTGCTACGCGACAAGTGTCAGGCTTAATTTAACGTGGTAGGTTGGAAGAGGCAGAGACTAAGAACATGGCGCAGAGAAATGCACTGAGAGTATTCTCCTTTGCTTTGTGCTTACAGATTTGAGTGCGTCGCCTCAATCTCGGATAATTTGCGCACAACCGTCATTGCTCAGCCCATGAAACACGGTTAGCTGTTAATCGAATATGAGAGTCCTTAATCTCACGAATATATATATATATATATATATAGTCGCACGAACTTTAAAACGAACGGAGCAGGGAAAGTCTCCTTTTTGAACGACGAAGCGTTACAACGTGTTCTGATTTTCTGTTTCAGAGACTAGCAGACCAAATTGGTTAGGATCGTATGAAACCTAATCTAATTACGAGTAGTCTGATTTTCGGGGCTGATCGTGCGAAAAACCGCATATAAAGCTTTGATCTCGATATCTGTCTCCCTCAGCTGATGGTTCAATAGTATCGCACTTATTTCATGATATAGAGGATGGACCAAACGTTTGGATATCAGTCGAGTATCTCGTAAACGATGCTATTTTGAAGAAAAATGTTTTAGACAAAAGTTGTAGGGTTTAAAAAGTTTTATTTACTGATCTTATCAGTTTTTTTTTTTATCATATAGTTTTCTCAACACAAATCACTTTTCTATTCATTTGAGTGATTTTATTGAAAAGTGAATACATTATGAGAAATTTAATATTTTGTGCTGAAAATACCAAGATGAAAAGTAAAATATCTCGAAAAGTATTCATTTTTCGATGATTTTACTCTAGTACTTTTATATGCAGAATGAATAGAGGAATCGATTTATGTTAAGAAAACTATATGATTCCACTAAAAAAAATGAAGTTGACTTTTATTCGACTTTGACGCTTCCACCCAGGGTCAAACTGATAACATCAGTAAATAGATCTTTTTAGGCTTTGTAACTTTTGTTTGAAGCATTTTTCCAAAATTGCTTTGTTTCTGAGATATTCGATTGTGTTCAGACTTTTGGCTCACCCTGTATATATCTCGGATTATGCTCGCGGTTTGTCCGTTCTCTCTTATATGAGTTGCGTTCCTTCTGATATTAATTCCGATGATAAATCTTTCAATCCCGTCGTTTTCCAAATCGAATTTACACTTTGCCATCTTCCGACGGTATCGAACGAGAGGATACACGTACAGCTCTCCGTTTCGATATCGCTTATAATACAAATGTGTTATGGTTTTCACAATACGCGCTGCATATACCACATACGATCACACACGTTACACACGCACTGACATTACGCAAGATATGCAAAAAAAAATCGCATATAAATAGGAATAACAAGGTGTTCGCATATAGCATCAATGCGACTAGTTGACCACTTTTACTAGCCTAGGGTAAATAGGTTGTCCAGCTGTTACACTGATTGGTTGAGGCAAACTCCCGCGATTTCCGATATATTAGCGATCATAGAGTTATTTTATATTGAGAATATATTTCAAGAGAGAGAGAGAGAGAAAGAGAGAGAGAGAGAGAGAGAGAGAGAGAAAGAAAGAAAGAAAGAAAGAAAGAAAGAAAGAAAAAAAAATGAGAGAATCTCGTTTCTCCAAGCGACCTGAGTCACGAAATATAATGGCCATCAAACGAAGCATTCTGTTGTCGAAAAAGCAATTTTAAATTCGTTTTGATTGAAATCACTGAGAGATGATTCGCTGGTGTGACTCGTCTTATATATATAAATCGTATCTAAAAAATGATATGTTTCAAGTATTCTCCCAAACACTTGTGTCTACATTGATGCGAATGAACTATCTAACGCATGATTTCTTCGTAGGAAATGCAACAGAGTTCTTATCAGGCCCCATATATGATCTCAATCAGATAGGTCAGGTCGTTGCTGGTACGTATATAACATAGTTTTTGTTAGATATATGAATGCACAATAAATATCATTATGTTAGATTGTTTTATGTATATTTAATGTACTTCTTCTGATACACCAAACCTGGATTAATTTGCACAAACCTTCGCAAATGATGTATAGTATCGATAGTGACTCTGAAGTCTGTTCAGTTTAAGCTATATTGAACATTGACATGCAAGTTTAATGGACGCTTTGCTGATAAGATCTGATATAAACGTGTGTTCTTCGTTTTTTCAAATTGGCCTATAGACCTGTCTGACTGATCTTATATTTTTATCATTCTACAGGACCTGGCGCTAAATATCTGACATTGCCTGGAATATTAGGAGCTGGTCTACCGAAAATCACATCCGAACAGCAGGATACGGTAAATAGAGCGAAGAAGTATGCAATGGAACAGAGCATCAAAATGGTCCTCATGAAACAAACACTGGCCCATCAACAGCAGGTAACTTCTGAATTAAATCGCGAATATGTGAGTAGAATCCTATTTTATTGCATATTTTGTTAGCAACTATATTGTTCGTTATTTGTTGCATAGAATGAAAAATCCTTTTGTACAATTACAATATACATAATTCATGTAGCGTCGGACGGTTGACTTTATTCGAAAAACGAAAAAAGTAAAGTTATATTTATAAATCTGCTATTCTGGAGCATCATTTGCTCTATATATTAGTTCTATAGTAAATATCAAAATTATTATTAATTCTGTGCAGCCAGTAAATAGCACTATCAAAATATGCGATATAACTCAGCGCTGCCGTCCAGTCACTTAAGTTACCTTTCGTCACTTTTTCTTAACACATTAAGGGCGGGAGTCGTAGTACTACGATTTAGCTCGACTGCGGCTTAAAGGCAGGAGTCGTAGTAAAACAATTTAGCTCGACTGTACCTTAAAGTTTTTATGATCACACAAAATATCGCCCGCCGTTAATGTGTTAATACGTCACTAAAAAAATTTACTTTCGCCTAAAATGGGTCACCATGTTCACTATTTTTTCGTGGGCTGCCGTTATATTTATAAAATATTGGCATTCTATATATATTTTTGCCGTCTCAATAAATCTGCTCCAAAAGTTTACTAGTATTATATCGTTCATGTCCTTGATCTTGTTAAACTGTACTATGAAAAGAAATCGGTATATGTTAAGTTATCCATAAATATGAGTAAGTGTTACTTTTTCACTTAAATAATCTCTGGTTACTCTCAGAATTTAACAAGAAATATTCACTTTTGGTCAGTATTTTGATGTCCAAGTCACTTTTTTTGTTCCTATAACTAGATGACAGCGTTGTAAAACTGGCTTGCTTCCAGGATCCCTTTAGATCCCTTAAGAAATTAAAAATAACAAGTAATAGAGAAAAATGATTAATGAAAAGTACTTTTTAAATTTTTATTAGAATAAAATGTTATTTTTTTTAATAATATCAATTCTCAACTCTTTGTATCTACTTATATGATTCTTAAAATTCTGAAATATATCATGTCGGAATTATGTTGTATAAACAATTACATTTTTTCCAAAATGTTTATCTATAAAAATGAATATATTTTGATTTTTTTAAATCTCTTATTTAAAAATACACAATGAATATATAATGTGTAATAATCATACCAAACTTGTTTTGGAAAAAAAGAGAAATGTATGAAAATTAATTTTTTCTTTCACATTAAACTAATTCGGTGAACTGAATGAATAATAATCATACCAAACTTGTTTTGGAAAAAAAGAGAAATGTATGAAAATTAATTTTTTCTTTCTCATTAAACTAATTCGGTGATTGAATGAATAACAAGTTTTGTCATATAAGTTCTGGGGTTCACATATTTTCGGATATTTTTCTTCAGTATAATAAAATGTTAGTGTAAAACTGTTTCCTCCGCTCAGCTCTTTACCAACCGCACGTTTGCAATAAATCGACTTCGCATACGCTCTCGACTTGTTTCAAGAAAAGCTCATCCCGCCGAGTAGCACTAAATTATAATAAAAACGGAAGTTTAGAGAGAACCAATTCTGACTAGTTGATTTTTCTTCCTGCAGAAGAATAGATTGGTCCTGCGGCAGCAAGTTTTGTTGCTAATGTGCAGGTTAGTGCCAACCATACCAAGTCAAGACAGAAACTAATAAATCCGTCCCACGATTTAACGTTCCTAAACATTCCCCTAAGTTGCTATTGTATAAGAGAAGGTTAGATATAATTTTAAGATAATAGTCGGCGGGAGCAGAGCTGTACCAACGCGATGAAGGATGCGAGTTTTCGTGCATGAATCTCCTCTGATAAATTTGCTCTGATACTTCTGAGCTCGTTTATCCTTCTGTTTAAAAGAATGAACCTGAATTGAACTATGAACTTCAAGTTTAACAAATTTATATTTTTTTCCTTTTTCTGGGAGAGATACGTTCCGTCTTCAATTTATTGTTCTATATTCTTTTGAAGTAAAAGTTCGTTTCACGTCTCACGTGAATCTTCGTATTATATATTTGCGCAAATATTTTTGCAACGCATACGTGCTTTAATTTTAACTGCGATCATTCTTAATACGATAGAAAAGACTAGATATTTTTTTGAAATATTTCGTTTCACTTCTGTATAAATATTTCGTTTTGCGGTATTGAGGATATTTTTCTATTTATCGACGATTTTTTTTTTTTTTCTTTAACCAAATTATTAGATTTAAGCGATAGACGGTGATCAATATTATAGAAGATAATATAAATCGAGTGAAGAAGTCGGAATGGTAAAAGAGAGAGCTTAGTGAATTCTTGAAATCGATAAGACACAGTGTATATGTAAGGGGAAGGGATACCAATAGAAGGGATACCTATGGTACTTTGTGTTGCAGCAAATGGCTAGTCAACGGAATCAAGTGCAAAGACAGCAGGCTCTCGCTCTCATGTGCAGGTTTGTTTGTTCTTTGTCTTAGCTCTTAAAACACTGTGTGCCCGCAAGAGACTCCCTCCTCTCCTCCTCATAATGTAGCCTAAGGAAGTTATATTGCGATACTTTATCATATTTTAAGGCACTCACGCACTCTCTCTTCATTCTATGGTGTACAAATTAATTATTTGAGGTTTATGTTAGTTATATATTCCAGTTTTATGGTTTGTTGTGTTGGTACTATACAGCCTTAAAGTTGGCGGCAAAAACTTTCCACTTAAATAAGTGTCACAATTGATTTAATATCAGGACCCAGAATTAATTTGTACACTTAATATTTTACCCTTAGTAGCTAAGTGTAAGAGAAATTTCAAGTTACCTTTTTTTTTCTTTTTTCTTACCAATGTTACTAAGCATTTTCCGCAATCGTACATAAACAAGTTACAAGGACTTGTTTCCCGTAGCTTTCAGCAAGAACTCCCCTACGTGACATGCGTTCAAGAAACATAACGGTTGAACGAGAGCTCGCTGTCATTGGAATATTCTTTTGGATTATTATTGATTTTTAAAAGGATACTTCGGTCAAAGGCGATAATTATTCAACGATTGCACATTCGTTGTGTTTTCTGAACGCAAGCTTTGTTACGCATCGGGCGGGACCTGATAGACCACTTCGGTGATCGGCTAATTTAGTGTAAAATTTTCTAATTGATGATCCAGCGGAGAAACTCCAGGCACCAATCGATATGCGTGTGTGTGGATGTGTGCTATCACTAACGGGAGTCTCCCATCAATTTTCAGATATCCTAAACGGATGTTGGTCATTTTTTCATTCGAAATATGTCGGTCCTTTTAATTGTATCAATGTTTGTTACCAATATAATGTATTGTTTGTTACATCACAATCGTATATTATATATAACGCTCCTTACACGATACATATCCAATGAAACGGAGAGTTATTCTCTTTAGCTGAACCAGCGCTGCTCTAGAATCTCGTTCCTTTTCCTTTCAACGTTAGGTCGTATACTTGTTTTATTCTAAAGGCAACAAATGCAATTTAATAAAAAAAAACAGACTTCGAATATTAATTAATTAATAAAAACGCACACATTCGATTATGTCGAATGACATCGACATTGACTAATAGATAAATATGATTGTACGATTAACAGAGTTTACGTGGGCAGCATAAGTTTCGAATTAAAAGAGGACACTATCAGGCAAGCCTTCTTGCCGTTCGGACCCATCAAGTCTATCAATATGTCTTGGGATCCCGTGACGCAGAAGCACAAAGGTTTTGCCTTTGTCGAATACGAGATACCCGAGGCGGCACAGCTTGCATTGGAGCAAATGAACGGTGTCATGATTGGTGGACGCAACATCAAGGTAGCAGGACGTACCTATATAACGAATTTCCTGTCCCCCAGCAATCCTCCTATCATCCCGCCGGAGGTCGGCAAATTTTTACTTAGTTTATCCAATATTATGCTTAACGATTTTCGAGCGAACTCTCGGCATCTTCGAACCGCCGCGTCACAGCGGCGATGGCTTTGAAAAGTGCGAAGTTTACTCGAAAATCCTGCTAATGCGTAGTATTTTTTTTTTTCTTTTTACCTTTATGTGTGCGAGTAGAAAATATTTGAAATTTTATCTCCTCGTATTTTCTCGCGTAGAAAAAGTGCTGTCGTATCGATAGAACTGATCAGCAGCGTCATAATTCGAGTAAGTCTTGATTCAACGGCAGTATCATTGAGAAACTGTTCTTCAAATTTCTCTTGGAGAGAAATTCCACTCGAAAAGTAAAGTGACAGTCGAATTCGAAAAATTGTTCAGCCGTACAGAGTAAATTCTCCGTTCGGAATCGTCGAGTGAATATTTCAGATCGAATCTTCTATCCGTCAGTGAAATTGAAACATTCACTCGTGTGATTTCAAGCGACGGTATGTCTTCACTGTCGCCTCGGGTTTTCGACCCGTGAGAGTAATGGCATTGTTGACTAGAGTTTCATTCAGTAATATTTGCTTCAATAATATTAAAGATTTCAAGATTACTCCAATGATATACCCCTATTTGTACAACAGCATTTTTATACTTACGTCAGACGTGAAAATCAGAAAGAATGAGCTTCTTATGATCAATCTCGCGATATTGTTACACTACGGATGAATCTTTCTTTTGCAGGTAGTTGGACGACCATCGAACATGCCCCAGGCACAGTCGGTGATTGACGAGATCACCGAGGAGAGCAAACACTACAATCGCATTTATATCGCATCGATCCACCAAGACCTAACGGAGGAGGACATCAAATCGGTCTTCGAGGCCTTCGGGCCAATCACTTACTGCAAACTCGCCCAGGGCAGTTCCCCGCATCGGCACAAGGGTTACGGTTTCATCGAGTACGAGACTATGCAGGCTGCCCTGGAGGCTATCGCTTCGATGAATTTGTTCGATCTTGGCGGCCAGTACCTGAGAGTGGGCAGAGCGATAACACCGCCGAACGCTCTCATGGGACCTCCCAGTGGCACGAGTATGATGCCTACCGCGGCGGCGGTCGCTGCCGCGGCAGCGACCGCTAAGATCCAGGCTATGGACGCGGTAGCGAGCAACGCGGTCGCACTGGGCCTGACAAAGCTGGGGGCTGCAGCGCCACCGATATTAAATCAAGGTTCGACTTGGAATTCATTCGACGCCTTTTTCTCTTATGTGAAATTCCAAACTTTCTCTCACGTTGATACAGCTCTACCAAGTGTGGTACGACCGACCATCGCGCCCGCGACGATAATGGCACCGCCAACGGTGGCAACGGTTGCGCCGGTGATACCCCCTCCCGGTATAGCCATACCGCAGACTTTAACGCGACCGCCAGCCATCATACAGCCGATTCCCGGACAGCCCGTTGTTATACCACCTCCCGCCGTAGTTGCTCCCACGATCGTCGGCACTCCAGTCGTCAGTATTCTCGGACTTTTCTCTTAGTCATTAACGGCACTTGTCACTTCACCGTGCAATTTTCTTATTAGATACCAGTTACGACTGCGAGCTCCGACATTATGAGGCGAGCGCAAGAACAAGCGGCTCACCAAAAGCAACAGGAAGAATTGCAAAAGAAATTGTTAGAGGAAACGGAGCCGCAGACGTTGCAACAGCAGGAGAACATGTCAATTAAGGGCCAGAGCGCTCGTCACCTTGTGATGCAGAAGCTCATGCGTAAAGTTGAGTCTCGGGTCGTTATCTTGAGGAACATGGTAGCGCCGGAGGATGTGGACGAGAGTTTGCAGGAAGAAATTCAAGACGAATGTTCCAAGTTCGGCGTGGTAGAGCGAGTTATCATTTATAATGAAAGACAGTCCGAGGACGACGAGAATGCCGAAGTCATTGTGAAGATATTTGTCGAATTTTCACAAATGAGCGGTAAATTACTTACATGTATACACGTCATTGCCGGTATCTAGATGGAAAAAATACGAAATATATTCATCTTGGATCTCAAATAAAAATTGTCTAAGGCAAACGCTGTATTATGTCAGCGACATATTTAACTACTAAAAATATCGGCACTAATATTTTTCTTCAATATCTGAGATACGTTAAATCAAACAAAATTATATGCGTAATTCACAAAGCACATTACGTAAATTACTTATATAATTGATTGGTTGTTAATATCCTTTTTCAGAGGCAGAACGTGCAAGAGATTCATTGAACGGTCGTTATTTCGGCGGACGATTGGTTAAAGGGGAACTATACGACCAGGCCTTGTTCGATAATAGCGACTTTTCCGGTTGATGCGCAGAATTCCGCTCTAATTTGTCGTGTATTATGTTTCTTTCAACTTCATAGGCAAGTTGTATCACTTAATGTTAACCGACAATGTTATATAAATGACACTTAATGTTAACAATTTATGTGAGAGATTTCGCTATATTCCAACCACTATTTATAACAAAATCTTACAACGTAACATTGAGCAAAACGGGCAGAAAGATCAGACGTATGCAATATTCACGGCTCTAATCAATTTTAATAGTAACTGTCACAAAATATAATATGCAATTTGGATAGCAAATCTGGAATACAAGATAGTAAATTAAGTTGAATTTATACCGATCTGAGAATAACGTTCGTATGCGTTTAAATTTTGTTTCTACGAAACGGAATTTTGTCGTGATAGCGTTACTCGTTGTTCTACATTGCAATTAGTCGACTAAAATTGTACACCAGGATTACGATTTCTCAAAGAATAAACATTTCATACACTTACCCGTTAATAGTATGACACACACATCATTGTTATAATTTTAATATTAATTCTTAACTGGAACGGCGGGAATATTTCGTGTGAGATATCGGAATGATATATTGCAATCACACATCTGTAAAGCAATTTGTAATACGTTATTAACAATAACATTAAGTTTATTGTAGTATAAACGGGCTCTATATGTATTTAAAATAAGAAGAAAGCAAATTTAATGAATGTCAGCACGAGGAAAAACCTACGAGTGCATGAACACTTTTACTAACTTAGTTTTTTCAACTATAGACTTGCGTAGCGCTGTGGTGGTTTAACTGAAAGATTTTTCTGCTCAAGGTTTCTTATTAAGATAGTAGCTGCGACTGTTTTTGTTTAATAACGTTCGAAGCAGGAAAAAGATTGCTAAGAATTCTTGCATTATATTTTCAAAGAAAAAAAGGGAGAGGGGTCCATATGACATTTGTAAAATTGTCCGAACACTTTTATTCGAACGATCAATAGTCGCAAAATTAACGTGAAGCCTTTCCTTCTCGTGATTTTGTCAATTTTGTTAATTTTATCGATTGTTCGAGCAAAAGAAGTATTCGAACACTTTTCGAAGATGTGCTGAATCGATTTCAAATGTTTATTTTGAGGGTATAATTTTTTTATTTGAACATATAACAAAAATGCTTGACATGTTTTCTCGCTTTTAACATCAATAAACAAAGATATAATCGTAGGGACTCAAGAACCTCGTTCTACTATTCGTCATTCTTCGCGAATATCGATTTGCAACGCATCGTAGAATGTCCTTCTAACTCGTAAGGTGGGAGCAAACGGTGACCCCACAGCTTCGTTTATTTTACAACGTGCGCACGCTGTGTCCCTTCTTAAGGAATGTTTCATGTTATTATTTACTTCTCTTATCTATTTTGTTATATTGATTACGTGAAAAAAGGAACAAAACAACACGGATCCAATCCCACTTTTCTGAATACATTGAAAACCCATCTTGTCGTTAGAGAGTTAAGAGATATTATTTAGGATCTCTCTCTCCCCCCTCTCCCTCTCTTTGGATCTTCACACTGCTCCAGTTAAGGATTGATTAATATTAATTGTATATGGAAAACGATACAGCTTAATTTACATAGGTGTATAAAAACATTAATAAATCGTTTTACAGTAGTCACTTATAGAAATACTTATGTCCAATTCAGGTGGTCCATTAAAAAAAAAATGATTGGTAAAAAAGCATGCCAAATATTTGGAAAAAATATCAGACTCAGCAATGAAAAATAAGAATTCCCATGAAAAAAAAATTCACCTTGACCTGAGTCAAGCGAAAATTCCATTAAAGGACAAACTGTTATCATCATAGATTTTTAAGCTCAATTTTGTGTGTTACATATTTCTTTTCACAATCGGTCGATATTTTAGCGACTTTTGGAGAACTCTGTGTGCGTAAAACTGAAAATTTTGTAATTTTTATCCAGAGAATGTGTAGCACACAGGGGGCTGATGTAAAACAAAATTATGTTGAAATTCATTCATTATAAAATAATAACATTATTTATTATATCTACCCTAAAATTACATTACTATATGAATACTTCAATTAACTGTATGATTAATTTTCTATTCACTTTGTTTCGGCTTATAAATGTTATTCGAATTTTTATAATCCTCATAAGATGGAAAATTTCCTGGCGTGACTGGCTGAGGAGGAGCGGAAAGTTCCTTACTTTGGGAATATTTCTCCATTAATTCGGCGGCATTCTTCTTCTTAGTCATCGCTAATTGATAGTTTGCTTCTACTTCTTCTTTCGTAGGTGGTTCTTTTCTACGGTATCGTAACCAGGCTTCCCATTCTGCCGGCAGTTCCTGCATGAAATCATCTTTGTTTACCGGCTCGAAAAACCGAGGCGGTTTCGTCCGGCTGGAAGAACGAATCTCCTGTTCGTAATATTTCGTGCCGTAGTAATCCTCGCCTATTAACTTACGGCGAGAGAAACGGGGCTTCAAGGAAGACACGATGCTGTTCCAAAGAATTTTAAAAACACCGCGTTCCTTAGCCATCTTATTACACTCTAAAAAGAACCACAATCGTTTAATATCAAGCGAGAGAAAGAAATATTAAATAGAATGCTGTAAAGCTCAGGTCAATACCAGTCGACCATAACCTCAAAGCTTCTCACATAATTTCAAATTCAATAAATAGCAACGATATGTGTGAGTGAATGATATTTAGATTCGTAATAATATCGGCACATGATCGATGGAAAGTGATTTGTATGAAATCTTACCGTTTGTGTGATGTTTACACGTACTCTTGAACGCTGCTTCGCGGACTACGTCTTCGCTGCATGAAAAGTTAACCAATCAGAGCACGACTTGCCTCGCTCGTTCTTCGCCCCGGCATTGAATCAAGCACAGAGCGGGAGGATGTACATCGACGAGGGAGTCCGGCACTTCATCGTGTGCGACTTCTACGGGGTGGAGACGTGCTTCTGCTGGAACGTCGACCGGCCGAGACTCGTCGTGTTTTCGTACGCGACGCGCGACGTGCGGGTCCTCTCGACGCCGGCCCCGGTCAGGCAGGTCCAATGCTTCGACGGTAGGGTCTTCGTGCTCTGCGCCCCGCGGGGTATCTACAAGCTGGCGCGCGGCGGCGCCTTCGCCGTGCTGAGCAAGAACGCCCTAGGGATGGGCGCCGAGTTCTACGAGGTGCTCGTCGCCAAGGAGAGCGACATCCATCTCGACGACAAGCAGAACAAGGACTCCAGACCGTTGTTCAAGTGTTCCGCCGCGTCGATCGAGAAACTGCACTCCCTCCCTCTGACCCTCGCGGACACCGAGGAACGATTCCTGGAGTGTTTCGGGGGGAATGATCGGCGGGAGAAGAGGAATGTCTGCGTGATCGGTTACGGCAGGAGGCTGTTTGCCTGGACTGGGGATGCCGTGCGATTGATTTACGCCGACGCAACCGGCGTTATTTCGCGCCTTACGCCTGTCAAGCGAGGAGACAAGGTGGCTGGCGTTTTGCTCCTCGTTAACATGGACACGGTGATTCTGATGCACAGCAGAGACTGCGACTTGCTCTTCCAGAAGGTGTGGCTGGGAAGAGACGTCAGATGCGCCTCCACGCTCTGCGCCAGCTTCGGCTCGGATAATGTATTGTGGATCGTGTACTGCGATCAATCCAAGTTGTATAACATGAAGAAGGAGCTCTTTACTGATAGGGTTGAGGAGACAAAGGTGGAAGAAGGGACATTCACGTGTATGCAGTGTTACAAGTCGAACGTTATTTTAGCTTTGTCAGATAACAAGGAACTGCTCGAACTTTCCATGGAGAAGGATTCTCTGCCAGTTAACGATAATATTGAGCTTCGCGCTGATATGTTTCGGAACACAGGTCTAATTATGGAGAGGATTTGCGATAAAGTGAGGGAATTGGATAAGCTATATGAAAAGTTGGCGAACGAGCAAGATGAATTGAGGAGGATAAATATGTATGCTTACAATCAGAAGATAGAAGCGAATCCTCAGATAGAGGCGTGTAGACTGTGGGATCACAGTTATCTTGTCTTGAGTATACCTGAGAAATTGCCGAGAAATACTCACGTAGCGTTCACTTTTAAATCCAAATATCAGAGTACATTTTGCGTGAAGAAAGTGACGGAAGCAACATTTACGGTGAAAATGTCTATTAATGAAAGCAATGTATTGCGTTCCTCAACTGTCAACATGGATTTGATTACATTAGCGAATAAAGAGATTCCTTGGTGTATTATACAAAATTTTATAACTTGTCCGACGCAAAAGGAAGCAAGAACGAGAGGATCGAAGAAGGAGAAAGACAAGATGGCCTTCATAGACGCTAAAATAGCGTCATTGGAGAATTTAATAGAGCAAAACGACTCGAGTATGACTAAATTGAGCGAAATCAAAAGAATTATACGAGCAGAATTGTGATGTTGATAATTAAGAGCTGTATATTTAAAAAAAATGTATTTTCTCTATCAAATAACTAACTATTCTGCTTTCATACTGAAACAACAAGTTTTATCTAAAAAGTCTAAATAGTTGTAATATTCTGTCGCATCACTTTGATGCAGTATATTGATTGTATTGTTTGTACGCTGTACTATTTTCAAAAAAATGATTACATATATAGGGAGAAAATATATACATGGTGTGTTTGTCTCAAAGTGTGCTAACTGTCACATACTCACCACATATGGCCATTTTCAATGGAGTTTATAACTCGAAATTTTGCACGTGTCTGCACAATGTGGTAGAGGATTTTTCTTCACATTGAGCTAAACCACAAATAAATGTGACTACAAATTGGCACGCCTTGCGTCAAAGACACTCTGTATATAATTATATAAAAAATATCTAAATTTTGGTTACTTTTATATTAATGTTTATATAGAATGAAAATAGAAAGTTACATCGAAAAAATGTCGTAGAAATCAAACAAATTTATATTTTATAAAGATAATATATAGTATCGACGTAATAAAAGTTGCAACACTTTTCTTCCGACGAATTTCGCAACGTATTTCGTATCCGATAGGAAAATGTAGGCTCTTGAAGATCACTAAAAGACGAATCCTCCTATTAGATACCGAAAGCATTGCGAAATTAATCGAAAAAAAAATACAACTCACCTTTTATTTATACCTTTTTTGTATACTCGAGGAAATGTATTGTGGTAGATGTTTTTTTTTGTTTTTTCATATGAAACTTCGTTACACACTAAATTGCCCTTTTTCTTATTAAAACCCTCAATTATCAGAATTCCATTTATTTATGGTAACTGATACAGTTATCAATTTCTAAAACACATGATTAGATATACAAACGAATCTCTGAAATGCTTCTGTGAAATTCATCTCGTTCATTTTCACGGGATCAAATACAAATGCAACCATTAGAATCATCGTTAGCGTTTACCTTTAAGCGTAAATGATTTAAGGCTTCTGGGGTCCCTCACTGCAACTGTCCTTATTTGAGGACGTCAGAAACGAGAATTGATTTAGCACGCTTGTAAAATTGTCCGAACACTTTTCTCTTACTTGAACAATCAATAATTATCCGCAAATTTCACCTGACACGAAACCTCTTTTGTCAACTTCTTTTCTCACAATTCTGTCGTCGTTTTGCGTGTCTTTTTACTTAAACGTACAATGCGAGAATTCTTGAACATGCGTTTTCTCGCGTTTGACATTGTCAAAGACAGTTGAAAATAATTTTTAACGACACATCGTTATCGTACGATACCGTTGCACAACTTTTCCGCCGTATGTCACCTGCGTGACAATAACGAGACTGTCGTTAAAAGTCACAGAATAGGTATCTACCGGAGCCTTAAATCGCTTTGCAATTTTCATTCCAAGAGAAAGAAAGTTCAACACAATTCTTCTGTATACTTAATGCTTTTTATCAGATGTACAAATTAATTCGGCGCCTTTGAAATTCAAAGTTTATCTGCAAAAAGTCAAGTACAAGTTTAACGTTTGAAATAATTTCCATTATTTTCTATGATTTTGTTCCATCGAAAATTCGAGTTACAGGACATTGAATGCAAAGGTACTAAATTAATTTGTATACCTAATACACACACCAAGAGTATATTTGTATAAACTAATATTTAACAGCCTAATTAATCGTCGATGATAATTCTGCAATATGTTTTTTTTTAAGAAAAGATTTGAGAGTGTGCTTGCTCGGGATCGAAATTAAAACAAACAATGACAGAGTACGTNAAAAAAAAAAAAAAAAAAAAAAAAAGTGACATATGCGACAAATTTCACAATAAATATGACTGAAGAAATGAGAAACGTACACGTGTAACATGATTCCTCCTCTCTCTCTTCTCTTTTACATTCTACTTTCTCATCGTATTATTATGTACACTATATAAATCATCTCTGTAAAAAACGTCACGTTTATATTTATACCTTTCACTCTGTGTAACTTGATCTATTTTATATGTATAACAGTTTATTGTATATATCTAGATCCGTCATTCCATCACGACGGAATGCACTTTCGCACGCGCGTTTCTCGGGCATAATGTCTCCTTTCTACGTGCAATATATCTTAGATAGTAGAAAATATCAATAATATTCATCGCAGTTCTTCTTGATTTCTTTCCCCTCTTTTTGTTTTTTGATAAGTACTTCGGTCGACGATACATATTCTAGGAGAATAACATCAAGTAAACCGCATCATCTTTTAACATAACTCGATACGCTTCTATAGATGTCCAAGTAAAATTATTAAGTATATTCGTTTGGGTGTTTTCTTCAACGCAGATTTTTGAACGGACTGCTCATCGTAGAGACGTTTCAATTTGCTTCTCGTCGCTCGTGTCGATCGCTGTATATTTTACAGGCCTGTGTAAGTAACGGAATCACCTGAGCGGCGTCCCGCGCATTCCTGTGTCGGAAAAAACTCATCTCTTCGCTAAAAATGTATTATTAATGTATTATCAAATTTGAACGATCGCTAATTTTATGTTTTCGATGTCAAGGAATACGAAAATTTTATGTCAAAATGAAATAACCTTCAATTTCCGATACACTGCTTTTCTGCTTGATACGCATCTTAACTTAAACTGTTTCATCGGATTTCTCTTTTCTTCGATTTTTAGCGAAGAAATGTTTTTTCCAAGAGTGCGCAAATATTGCGTGCGTGCTGCTCAAGTGGTTAAATATGTGACGCGCAGAAAGATCCGCTCTCCGATGAGAACGTTTTACGTCGACGATAATTACAGTGTTTTAAGTCGCTCTATATTTAACGTATCGTGTTTAAATGTCAAGTGTTATATTATATTACATGTAATGTAAGAACAGCCAAGAAAATTAGGCTCCGATATGAAGAAATATTAACAATATTTTCTCATGCCCGAACTATGTGACCAGAGGGTTCATGGTGTAGAGATTGGTGCGGATTTTCTTCATCAATTCAAATTTATAACATGAAGCTACTGGACACACATGACACGAACATATAGCAATATTATATATACAGGATGTGTGTGTGTGTGTGTGTGTGTGTGTATATATATTAGATTCCGAATGTCTCTAAAAAAGTATACTCCGCTAGAAAACTATTCTCTTAAAGTAATCTATAATTATTCTTTAGCATAAATTTAATCTTCCATCTTCATTCGTCGGAAAGTATTACTTTTAGATGATATAATGAATCGGCCACACAATTACAAAGTTGCGTGAGCCATTGGTGACCCACGTTGAACTTTCCGTTCAGGCTACATAGAGCATATATTTTATGTTACCTTTTCTTCCTCGCACAATAATCATATAGTCTCATAAATATTACAAGATATATCTTATAATACTCTTCTTTTTCACAATAACGATTTTGTAGACTTATAAATATTATAAAATATATCTTATAATAACACGTATAGTAACGTGGGCCACGCGGCGGAAAGTCACGTGAAATTGGCGCGGCACTCAACGTGTCAAGTACCTTGTGATGATAAAGTCACCGGTTATCAACAGAAAGAAAGAAAAATCCCGTTTCCTATTTACTATTGCGTGATACATACTCGACTTGTGCAATCATTTAATTGTGCTCGATTGTGCAGAGTTCATCGAAAGTATGAAAATAGTGACATACTTTGAAAAGAAAGCAAGTGACAAAAAAATGGTTCAGATAAAAGTTGTGGGGTTTGAAGGGGGGCATAAATTAGAGATCTTAATTTCGCTGTATAATCAGTCCAATTCAATATTATTTCAAAGTCAATTTCATTTTCTTTGTAATTAAATCATATATAGATTTTTTTAAATATGAATCGATTCCTATATTGTATATTAACAAATTTACGGTAAAACTGGACAACTCTAGGATTCTCTTGATATCAGTAATCTATTTTTCTCATATTATTACACAGAATTTTTCGTTCATCTTATCCTAATATTTTTATAAGCAGAACAAAAGAATCGGTTTGTGTAAAAGAAAAAAAAGTTATGATTTCATTAAGAAAAATTAAGATAACCTTGAAATGATTTTAAATTATTAGCTGTACGACGAAGTTAAGGTCACTACCACCCTTCCTACCCTGCAACTTTTGTCTGAATCATTTTTTTTTTTCGTCAGTTGCTTCGTTTTCAAGATACTCCACTATTTCCATATTTTTGGTATACCCTGTATATCGATTACATTACCTGACATCGAAACGACTTGATTAAATTGTCGCTAAAGAGAAACAAACGTAAATCGATCGTGAAAGAAGATAGGATCCCGCTTTCGGTTTCTTAATGTTAATGATATCACGGGAAGAATAGTATGTTCCTTTTTCAACTGTCTCGTCGAAGCGCGAACGCAAAGGAAGTAATGGAGGAGCGTATGCAACATGACCGCTCCGGTTGTATGAAATATAGGAATGTAAATGTGCAATGCGCACACACACAATAACGGTATTTGGTTTCTCTTAAGACAAAGAAAAGAGGAAAGGGATATTTCCCCAACAAAGCATTTGCACAGAGGATTGTTCTTAAGGCACACAAAATTCCACGTAACAAACATACAGGTAATCATGCCGATTATGTACTAAGCCTTTTTTTTTGGCTACTGGCTGCTAATACCAGGCCGTTGATCTGTCGCGCGTACGTTTTCGTCCATACGCGCAACGTAAAAACAACCGTAAACAAAGGAACTCCTTTACAAAAACTCGCTCGATTCGGCAAACACAATCGGACGACGCGAACCGAATCGTCCAAATTCTTTCTCTTCGTTCATTTGTACTGGGCTCTAATATACACCATAGTTGTTCGATCGCGCGACTGGTCTCATATAAGTTTACTCTCGTATGCTACAACGAATCTCTACGCTAAAATATATTCAAGGTAGCGTCGAGGCGTTATTTTAGTAATCATCTGTACCCGTTCGTTTCCATATAAACGATCGAGGCGATAGCGTTATCGATAGAATAATAGGCACATTATACGAAAAAACTTAGAGAACGTGCTCGAAGAGTGGCAGAAGTTATCGATAGACTTGCGAGATGAGAAGTACAAGAAATAGGCTTGATAGAGAAGAAATATATGTTACACCAGAGCATATTCTCATTATGATCGGAAGTCTCGGAAAGAGAATTCACAATCGTGTGTGTGTGTGTGTGTGTGTGTGTGTGTGTGTGTGTGTGTGTGTGTGTGTGTGT